TTCTCAAGCAGACGGATGACTCATTCTGAATGTATATTCATGAGCGAAACTGTTAGTTATGTGTGGTTGTTTCTGATACCTATTTACCCTTTGGGTATTAGTCTGTAGGATCATAGCCTAGTTCGGCATTAGTAGATTTATCTTCTCCAATTGGATAGTAGACCCAATTACAACATTGGTTATTTGTATTCATGTAACTAGCAAACCTATAAGATCTTACATTGAGGTCACACTACTGTCTACACTGACTCATCCTAACGTGACAATCACCAATAGGATGTTTAGCAAACGAAGAAAACATGCATGTAGTTATTCGCTCTCAGTAATTCGAGATGTTCATTTCTACCAACTGCATAAAATTCATTAATTTTAGTAAATATTTTGTTCTGATTTCCACAATTCAAACTATGACTCGATATAGCAATTGGGATATATATTACAAGACCTTATTTTTATTACATACATCGGTGATCCTATGTCACCTCTTGCCAGTCATAGTTATGGTCTCGACTTGACATGTTGTTGTTATATCGTGAAGGTCAGATGTCAGGTGAACGGATTTAGGTACGCTACCAGTGAATAATATCATCTAGTAGCTACCATGTCAGATGACTCAAGTTAGGTAGTCTCGTTGTTAGTTTAAGTTGGACGACGTTAAACAGGTGTTACCATCAGTTCGGTTGCTATATTGTTGTAAGTAGAAAGTAGTTGCTAGCTAGGTATCTAGTAAAGTCAGTTTCCGCCGCATGCATAATGGTATCGCCCTGTGATTTGCGCTAAGAAATCAGATGTTCCACGAAAAAAGCGTCACGCGATGTCAGAAATCGCGATGTTTGATAAAACTTTCCAGTTAAATGTGGTCTTTGTTGATTACCAACCGTCCACACACTTCGCCGACTTTCGTTTAGACACCAGAACCACCAAAGGTTTGTTTTCTACCTTTTCTAGGTGAATCATTATCAACTAATATCCTTCCCTCCAGCAGAACTGTCTTCTATTCACATCCATTCTAATAGTTCGATCACAGGAAGTAAATGTCGTATTCAGTGCACACATTAATGTTTCAGTGAAAAATAGATCTATTCTGTAAAAAACTGCTGAAAAGCACGTTTGAGCTGGGAAGAGAATGGTACTTTTAAGATGAAAAGCAAAAGGTTACATAGTGGAGACCACACCAGCATATTAGAACCATGTCAAACAGACCAATTTACCTGCGTCCGTTACTTCTGACCTTCTTCACTTGGTATATCCCGAAAGTAAATATTATCAGTTACTGTACATTTGGCTTCAAGGATCGTATGGTTGAGAAATAACGCTACTATAAATTTTTTAGCAATTCGTATAACCGACTAGTGCAACTTTAGATCCTAGGGAGTTTTCATTTGATTACAACGGTTGTTATAATTGCATTTATGTTATGCATTCATAACATTAATCCTCGCAAGCGTCGTCACCAAGGTTCGACCTGATTATTCGGAATAAATTTCGAATCAAGTAGGTTGTTCTCAGCAGAAACGATATATTTATGAAGTCCCAAGGAGTAAGAAATTAGGTTTTTGACGCTTATTCACTTAGTTTCGGCCACTTTTTTTAAAAAAACATACCAAATGGACAAAAGTTCATATATCAAAAGGACAGATAAAACATGTAGAGCTTAGTCACAAAACACGAGGTAGGGGTAAGTTTTGATAGTTTATCTTTACACACTGCTATTCCTATTGATAAATACCGAGGTTTTTGTGGTTTCTCAGCGAATGACAATATTTAATCTAGAAGAAGACTAATGGCCATTGGCTCGATCATGAAATTCCTTCAACTCTATCTGGACTAAACCCTATTTGTTTCAAAAGCGAAACTGTACAGAAAAACTGTCGGAGTAGCCATGGAATCGCCTGTGTCATTGAATATCGTTAATTTGTTTATGTCCCATATGGAACCGTATATTTTTTTCTGTTCCATCATACCATGAATTTTACTCAGATATGTAGATAACGATTTTGTCATAACGAAAAAGATTATTGGGACGATCTTTTCTAAAGTAACAAATTGTCTCTCACCTCACATAAAATTCGCCCTCTAAAATAAAAATGATCTCGATGAATCACAATTTCTAAGAAGTTTGGTTGAAACAACATTTGAATGGAAGTTTAAATATAAACCTCTATTGCAAACCGGCACACTCGAATCAGTACAATGATTTCATTTCAAAACCCACACCCAATGCAAATGTCTCTTTGGGTGTAAACGTCTTCAGACGAGCGTCAAAGATCGTCACGACAGAGGAAAAGGAACAAGAGACACAGAAAATTGTGGTCAACATTCTTAGACCCAGTGAGTTCCCAAATTGCGAATTCTAGTCAGTTTAAATAGCAGTCAGAAAAAGAAGAGGTAATCAATATGGCCGCCGACATAACCAAAATGTCAAATAAAATAACGTAGACGCAGTTCGTGAGGATAATAGACTTTCGCTGGAAAGTGGAAAAACAAAGTTTCAATAATAAATAAATACCATATAATCTAGAACCAACATACAAACGCAATGTACAGGTGTTAGAATAAGGCAGAATAAATTCACTTTTAAAAGTAAAGTAACAAGCTCTATTAGAAAAGCACGTATATGGAAAAATTTTCATATACAGTCGCACAAAACTCCTAAAAGTGTTTTTGGATGTATCCCTAATTGCCTGCAGTGATACCATCTCAGAGAACAGGTAAATTAATTGGACTACGACTACAGGAGAACAAACGTACATTTAACATGAAGTATAACTATCGTCTTATTAAATATTGCCATATACAAATATTTTATCTGACGTGATATTATGTAATCTAGACTATGTCTATACCACGTACAGTTAGCTGGTTATAAGTATTCCAAGTGACTTGATGTACAAATACAGTCTTAAAGCTGCTTAACGTATTTTTTAAATACACAACTCACTTACTTACGCCTGTCACCCCAAATGGAGCATAGGACACTGACCAGCATTCTCCAACCTACTCTGTCCTGGGCCTTTCTTTCTAGTTCTATCCAATGGTTGTTCATTCTTCTCATGTCTGTCTCCATTTCTCGGCACAATGTGTTCTTGGGTCTTCCTCTTTTTCCTTGGCCTTCAGGATTTCGTGCGCGGGTTTGCCTCGTGACGCAGTTGTGTGCTTTCTTCAGTATGTGTCCTATCCACTTCCAGCGCCTCTTCCTGATTTTTTCCTCCGCCGGAATCTTATTGTTCTCTCCCATAGTAGGTTGTTGCTGATAGTTTCTGGTCAACGGATCCGAAGTATTTTGCGTAGATATCTGTTGATAAACACCTGTGTCTTCTGGATCGTGGCCTTCGGAGTTCTCCAGTTTTCCACCCCATACAGTAGAACTGTCTTGACTTTTGTACTGAAAATTCCGATCTTGGTGTTGGTTGACAATTGCTTTGAGTTCCAGGTGTTATGATATCGGATACTAACCATCAACTTCACCCATAACTTTCTCCTTGTATATCTTCTGGTTGAACGAGACGTCAAAACATTAGAATCCATGGACTAAGGCAAAGGTACAAAAGCTATACAATACACTGTCTAGCAAGTATACTGTGACGAACATGTTGTTCGAGTTCACGTAGTCAATAACTTGTGCTTCAAAACATGTTTTTATTTAAAAATTTTAAAGATTCAAATCTTCCTAAAGTCAAACATTTCATTTAACTCCAGTTAGTTTATCTATTTAACTAATGTATATATTTATTCATTTCTCGGTTATCTTGCACTTTTTTCGTTTGTACAGCAAACTTTTTGAAATACCATGTTTTGAAGATCATACATTGTATCAAAATATAATATTGAATAAAACCATTATTAGTGATAATATTGCTTTCAGTTTGTCATTTTGTACTTTAAGTCTGGAAGACTAGCTTGCAGTGTTTCTCTGCAAAATTGGTCATAATGATTATCATAGGTAGATTTACAACACACAAATAACATTAAAATATTTGATTCCTGAAATTTTGGTTTCTTCATTTATTTCGAAGTTGCGAATCTACCAAGTATTTTTGTTTCAGATGACTCAAATCTAGAAATTTGGATGTAAAAATGGCTTCGGCATAAGGATATATATATATAAGGCAGTCACTTCATGGATAGTCTTTATACCAGGTTGGGAATATTAACCCGGTTTCATTAATAGATTCATTATTAGCTATCGCGATCCTATGTTCTACAGACACATATCAGGGCATTGGGAAACGTGATTGAGATCTGATGCTTGACAGATCCCCTTCAGCTAGTGGTGCGTCTACTAGAACCATTATGATGAGCACCATTATCGAGTGCTTTCAAATCCTTTTGATTCGTGGCATTATATGCCTCCTCATCAACCGAACATAAGCACTAGTATGGATTATTTACAAGGAGATTTACATCATAGTGAGGTTTGCGATGATTAAAGGATATCAGTTGAACATAATTGACCCATACTACAGAAGAATGCACAAGTTAGTCTTTAGTCTTTATTTTACTAACAAAAAATGTTTTGATCCTTAAGATTTATATATAAGCGAATTATTCATTGTATGTTGTCGTAACTAAGGCGAAACGTATACAAATATAGTGTAGAATATCAACGTTGATGTTCTATGTCGAAATGATTGGAGGGCCTACTGGAGTTAGACGAGAATGGTGACGAACCAACTAACGCTGAAGTCACACCTCGCGACCAGCACCTTACGGGGGTTGCCCCCATCGACGTAACAAGGGACTATGGACGCTATGAAGACTGTACAACACAAAGGACGTTATTACAAGAATATATTAGTTAAGGTACAACCACGAAAGTACAGAAGTGAAAGTACAACCAATGCCGCGTGGCCCAGTCCATGGCGTGTAATTTATTGATGCGCGTTGACTATCCTTGACCTTGACAGGGATCGATGATCTGTTCAATATTCCGTGACATTTCACCGACCCTACAATAGTCATTTTATATAACGTTAGCCAAAGTTTGAGGTTTGCATTTTGAATCGCTTTGGGCGGTATTTTTGAAGTCTTTTGTTACTTGTGGACTACTGTGAGCAATCATGTATGCACTGTCCTGGTTACTTCTTAGGTAGACCACTTTCTACCTCACTGAGAAATATTACTCCAGTGTCAAAATCAGCTATTAATTTTAAGCACCTCAAAAGGTATGCTGTAGGGTACATATTTTTTAATGGCCTGTATCTTTGATGTGAAATATGCATATCCAATCAACCATGTCTTTTAAGCCCAAACAAAGACTTCATAGATGAAACCTAAGATAACTTAGTTGAAGTATGGGAAAACCGGTCATTGTAATTGTAGTATTGTCGGTGTTGTATTTTATTGTGTTAGTGCTGTATTTCAGGACAGGCTTTATGTTATTTTTCTCAGACAAGTGTAATCAGGAACACTGCAACTAACATTTTTTTGGGATCACACTTTACTGGTTCATACAGGGACTAACGTCTGTACGGGAAATCTCGACATTTTCACATCAACCCCCACTAGCTGCGGCACAAATGAAATAAAAAATAAGTTACTTTGAAAGTGTGCCGAAAGGGCACATTGACCCTGGGAAACCTCCTTATCCAAACTCTGTTGATCAAGTCAGCACTTATGACTGTGCCATAGATATTGGGAACATATGATGGTGTTAATCATAACTACTCACCATTCCCATTTATTCACCTTTATCGTTGAGATTTTCTGGAGTTAATGTTTTACTTTCGTGATTTATTTTATACCAAATATAATTTTCGAATTGGAGCACATAAATGTTATAGCACTGTTTGCTAAATACTCTGATACGATCCAGGGTCTTCTGATTAACTTGAGTAGTGATGCACCTGTGTTTAGCATTCATCTTCTAAATACTAAATACTGCTTCAGAACAGATCTGTTTCTTTATTTAAACACATAAATATTGGTACAAGGAAGCACTAGATATATATGCGCCGCATAAATCTCATTTGATTTGTGTGAGGGCTGTGATACTGCCCAGGTGCCCAAACTGAAGCAAGTGGTTTTATTAGGTGGGCAACACCAGGAGCCTTTGACCTAAAGGTCTGATCCACAAGGAAGTGGAGCATTGTGAGGCGATGCATTTCCATGGTAGGCAGTGACCAACAGTTGGCTCATACGCCATTTGTTCCTTCAGGATACTGGAGCCCATTTCACCGTTGGTTTGGAATTAGGGTTTTCCGACCTCCCCGGGGGCTTTCCGTGTCCACCAATCCGGCTAAAGCGCCGGACACTCGCTTTTCGTCCTCTCAATTTCGTAAACAACAGTAATGCCACGAGAAGGCAGTGAGTAGGACTTCCCTTGGAGAGGCTATAATACACATGGCCATGTGAGAGTATTTCGAGAGGTATTTATTTATTTATTTATTTAAACACATATATATTGGTACAAAAGGGCACCAGGTACATATGCGCCACACAAAATAATGAAAGTAGGTAGATAAAGGATGAAAAGATAAGGCGGGCTGAAATGTACAACCAGAAGATTCTTTCAGTTAGGAAAGTTAGAACCATTCTTTATGTAGAAAGTAAAAGAAGGTTGCAGCAGGATCGCCACTGGCTTCTATTCTGAGCCATATCCGATAACGTCTCTAGCCACTTTGTTGCACTATCTCTCGGACCCCAACCAGGGAGTCGTGAAGGACCAACAGAAGCTAGCCCTTTGCAGCTCTCTTTCATGCCACGACACCATGTCATACACTGACCTCCTCTCCGCTTTCTCCAACCAGTCCCAGGGTCGGCAAATAATGCACGACGCGGAAGTCTCTGGGACGACATTCGTAAAACATGTCCGAGCCACCGAAGTCGGTGTTTCAAGATGGTGACACCAATTGAATTATCGTCTCTGCGCCCGAACACACGATGCCGAACCTCTGCATTACTAACATGGTGTAGCCACTGGATGTCAGCAATCCTTCGGAGACAACGATGATGGAACACAGAGAGACGTCTAACATCCTCAACTCGGAGAGTCCAGGTTTCACAAGCATAGAGCAAAACTGCTCTCACCGACGCGTTGTAGATCCGACCTTTTACAGCCAGACTAACATCACGAAGGCGCCAAAGATGGCCCAGATTGGCATAAGCCGCTCTGGCTTTCATTATACGTGCATCAATCTCATAACTCACGCCACCGCCAGCACTTATGCAGCTACCCAGATACACGAACTTCTCAACTACTTCGATCTCCTCACCATCCAGGGTGAGTACAGGATGAGAATCCTGCCAGTCTTGTAGAAGTACTTTGCACTTGGAGGGTGCAAAGCACATGCCGTACCTGCGGACACTGATTGCCAACTGATTAAGTGCTGATTGCATGCCTTGGGCATTATCGCACAGTAAGACAATATCATCCGCATACTCAAGGTCGAGAAGTCGTTCTCCAGGCAACATATCCACACCGCCATTACTTACATCCATCAGAGCTGTTTCTAGGATGTCGTCGATGGCAAAGTTGAAGAGGAATGGTGAGATCGGGCAACCCTGCCTAACCCCACTGCTCGAATGGAACAAGGGAGAAAGGTGGTTGTATGCCCTCACTCTGCCTGAGGTGTTCGTATACAGGGCCTTTAAGATGTTAATGAACTTCTCAGGCACACCCTTCTTCAATAGACAATCCCAGAGAACAGTCCTGTCCAACGAATCAAAGGCCGCCCTGATATCAAGAAACACTACGATTGTTGGCCTGCGATAAGTATGACGGTGTTCTAACATTTGGCGGAGGGTGAAGATGTGATCAATGCATCCTCGACCAGAACGAAAACCAGCCTGCTCCTCGCGAGTCAATCGTTCTCGGGTTTTAAACAACCTACGAAGAATGATAGAAGCCAATAGTTTGGACGCAATCGAAAGTAGACTTATCCCCCGATAGTTGCTACAGGAACAACGTGAACCCTTTTTAAAGATAGGGACGACTATTGACTCATTCCAAGATGTTGGAACACTTTCTTGCTCCCAAACCTTTCCAAACAACGCAGTCAGTTCCTTAGCCAGAAAGTCACCACCATCTTTAAAAAGAGCCGGAGGTAAGTCATCTGGGCCAGGTGATTTATAACGTTTCAAGAGTTGGAGTTCCTTGCGGACTTCCGCCTCGTTTGGTGGATCAGTCGTCACCGGCCATGGGGAGCAGGACAAGCTGGTTGATGTTGCCGGAGCAGCAGGCCAGTTGAACTGCCCTTCGAAAAATTCCGCCCGTCGTCCAAGACGTCGACAGATGTTAGTGATTGGCATCCCGTCATCCTCGTAGATTGTTTCACTCACACCAGACTTCTTGCTGCCAGTGGCTCGGATGAGTTGGAAGAGCTTCCGGCAGTTACCAGATGCAGCTGCTGCTTCCATCTCATTAGCACGCTCCGACCACCAGGCTTCCCGGTCCTTACACTAGCTTTGCCCGATTTCATTACGTAACAGCCTTCGTTTGTGGTCAAACTCACGGTCACCCGGAGTAGACCGACGGGCTTCCATCAGTTGTAAGGAGCCAGAAGAAACCCAGTGCTTATAAGCGGGACGTTTCGCGAAGCCGCAAGCGGCTTTACTCGCCATTTTCATGGCGTCGTGAAGATGCAACCAATGCTCGTCTATACTTTTCGGTGGGGTGGTAGCTAGCCTAGAGGCTAGCTCAGCTCGATACTTATTTGCAACAGAAGTTGCAGCCAGTTTACTAATATCAATCCGTTGGTGGTGGTCAATCCTTCGGCCACTGAAAAGTAAGGTGAGATTGGCGCAGACCAGGGCATGATCAGACTCCAGATAGGTACTCCAAAAGGAGCGGCAGTCTTGTACACAACCACGCCAGCGGTAGCTGATCGCGATGTGATCAATCTGAGTCCAGGCTTGGGATGCAGAGGGAGGACGCCAGGTGGCACACCGGCGATGACTGTGCCGGAAGTTAGTGCTGGCCAGAAACAGGTTGTGGTCTGTGCACAGTTGCAGCAAACGGTCCCCGTTATCTGTCCGGCGACCAACAAGTCCCCATCGGCCACCTAGACGACTCTCTTCTGTGCCTAGACGCCCGACCTGTGCATTCAAGTCTCCGGCTAGTACTACAATATCTGTCGAACGCGCTTTCTGGAGAAGAACTGTTAACTGATGGTAAAACTCATCCTTGATTGCATCGGGGCTGCAATCTGTCGGGGCATAGGCGGAGATGACGAAAAGACACCGTTTCTCACGCCGATTTCTTCTCACTTTGATGGAACTTTCTAATCTAACAGCACATAACCGACTGTTAATGGGGATCCAATCGATTAGTGCTGCCTCAGCTCTAGCGCTTAGTGCGACACCAACGCCAGCAAGACCAGACGAAGATGCCGCAGGGTCCCCGGATAAGCGCACGTGGAACAAGCTTTTCGAGGCGACAGATGGAGAGCGGATTTGTAGTACTTCACTAGAGTCTTGAATACGGGTCTCGGATAGACAACAAACGTCAACATTAAGACCTTCCAAAGACATAGCCAGCCCTATCTGTTGTCTGATCTGCATTAGTGTGCGAACGTTGAAGGAAGCCAGCTTGAACGGCGTACGTGGTTTCAGAAAGACTGCCTTAGTATTCATAATCGGTGGAAGCATTCACTTTCAACCAGACAGTGACTGGAGATCGTTTAGATAGGACAGATTTTCCACCAAGAGCGAGCTGCTGCATAAGTTGAAAAGTAAGGTTACACAAATTGGGGATAAAAGGGGGTGAATTAGCGATATGGTAAGTAATAATAATAATAATAATAATAAAGGTAATAATAATAATAATGTTAATTGTCTTGCTTTTAGTATGACCAGGGATATCGTCAATAGAGTTCATAATTTCATTCATTTGTTTGTGTGTGGGCTGTGATACTGCCCGGGTGCCCAAACCGAAGCAGGTGGTTTTCTTAGGGGACCACACCCCGAGCCTTTGACCTAAAGGTCTGATCCACAAGGCAGTGGAGCATCGTGAGGAGATGCAGTCATGGACCACGTCAATTATTGTGGGAGTTCAGTCAGTCCCAGCACGGATTCAGTATTCCGGTTGACTTAAAACCAACTTGAATTACTTGCCAATAAAGTATGCTGCATAGCAGTCCGGTATGCAATGTTTTGTCCATGAAACGGTCCATAAATTTTAGGGACATATGTAGTCTGCAGGGTTTTAATCAAGTATTTGTTTGAAGCATTGTTCACAAATCGTAGTGGTTATACGCATATATATTTATTTATTTTTTATTTAAACACATAAATATCGGTACAAGGAAGCACCAGATAAATACGCGCCTCACAAATCTCATTAGATTTGTATGAGGGCTGTGATACTGCCCAGGTGCCCAGACTGAAGCAGGTGGTTTTCTTAGGGGGCCACACCCGGAGTCTTTGACCTGAATATCTGATCCACAAGGCAGTGGAGCATCGTGAGGAGATGCAGTCCCATGGTAGCCGGTGATCAACGGTTGATTCGTACGCCATTTTTCCCTCAGGATACTGGAGCTCATGTGCATCATTGGTTTGGAATCAGGGTTTTCCAACTCCCCTAGGTGAACTTTCCATGCCCACCAACCCGTTTAAAGCACTGGACATACACTTTTCGTCCTCTGACTTTCGTAAACAACAGTTGTGCCACGAGAAGGCAGTGAGTAGGACTTCCCTTGCAGGGCTATATATTCGCTGGCCATGTGAGAGCATTTCGAGAGGGAAAGTAGACTCTCCCCACTCTCGGCCGTACCAGGGCATTTGGGGGCATATATATATATATATATGTATATATAATTCCCACTAAACGATGTGGGTATGTTTGATGACCCTATCACCTATTTTGGCACATAATGTTTGCTGGAGTAGGAATATTTGGGAAGAAAGCTAGGGTGCAAAACCAAAAGAGCTGTGTTCATAGATTTATGGGCTTCTGAAGCAAGTCGATCACCTAGGTCTAGACTACCTGATTGGGGTCTGTATGATCCTTTTGACCAATGATTGGAGACGGGTGACATGACTCAGAATCCGTCATAATGGTATAGTTGTTTTCATTTATATCTCTTAAATCATGTTTCAAAATTATACTATGCATTTTAACTTACGGATTCATTGTTGGACCGCATTATATTCTCTCAGTCTTTTCACTGCCGCTGATCCTATGACTTTGTTACTGGTTTCGGTAATTCCATTTTGCTGTGCTGTGCTGACTTGAGTTGATACATATATGTGCCAGGATCTATGTTGATGATGACTCATTAACCTAGATTTTAATATGGTATAAGGTCTCATCGCAAACTTCGAAACCAATCTCTCAGTAGTAGTAATTGTAGTATGCATACTGAACATGTCGAAGAAGTTTAGACATATCTCGTGAAAATACCTCATTCTTAGCATACTTTGTTATCGATTGGCGCTCTGGATCAAGAATACAAATGAAGATGAACAATTAGTCGGTTTAGCTTTTTATTAAAATCCAGCTTTAAAGACATAACACCAACAGGAAACTCTTTATGTGAAGATCTGTTAGCGGATTATAGATTGGATTAAAGCACGTTCCGTGCAGGATTATGTTTAGACACTGGTTGGCTACTTTTTAACTAGTCACAGCTAGTCGATACTTGGAGAAAACTTTAGAATATTTTCACGTAAAAACTATAAATATACTGACGTTTTTCTTATTGTGCTTATTTTCATCTACCCTCGTTATTTGAAATATGTCGTTCCTGTTCAACCGTGTTCTGATTTGAAGACTTGTCGGGTGAACTGGTGTTCAAAAATACTAAGCAACTGGAATAGCTGGGTAGTAGTAAAAGAAATTATAACAAGGTCCTGTATTTTAATAATGCTTCTAACCTAGAGTTTCCAGTCGAACTGCTAATAATTGACTGGTTATTGATACAACATTTGGACTGATAGTTGTTTATGCGACAGATCAATACTCCCAAACTTACGCCAAATCGGTAGTATTTGACTAATGGTTTTCATTTGTTTCAGAAAAGTAGATTTTCGAAAATGATTAGACAAATTTTGTTAGCCAATATTAGACCCGAAATCAGTTGAGTTTTTAACATCTTGCCAAGTCATTTGCATAATTAACATGCTTCTCTGAGAAGTAATATCAATAGTTATTCTCAATGTAAAGTTCTATTGATGAAAATAAAATAAAAACCAGTGCTAAAAACACACTTCGACTTTCATCTCAAAAATCTGTATTTGTTTTTCATTTTCTTATACTGTATTTGAATTTTTCAAAACATCAACTAATAGTCTTTTAATCACGTTCAAACAGCTCACTTTACCAGCTTCTTGATGACTGAAAGGGTTTACTATCCCTGGGCAGGTATGCACTTTTTTCCCCTATAATTTCTTAAGGTCGATGTGAGAAGTTGTCTGCATTTCTCGAACGTGCTCATCTCCGAAACTTCTACAACGCAATTAAGAAGAAATTAAAAATAAATGAGTGAGTCCCACTACATCAGTTTTGTAAGTATCACTTTTACTTTGACATCGTCCTATTACTGAATTTCTTTTCGAACACATTTTCAGTGATGTAAATGATTTAGAACTCGTAGTAACTACACTCCCTTTCAGTCCTAGTTTAGATTTCATTGCTTATCACTAAATTACTGCTTAGACTTCGCTTGTCATTTTCCTTGATGACTCTTATTGTTTTATTTCACTCCATCGTTCAAACAGCCTTATCTGAATTTCACGGCAGGTATTTAGTCCAAAATTGCGAAGCACTCCGCAAATGGTCCATTGTTTTAATGTGCAAATCATAGTTATCACTATAGAAATCATAATTGTATCTGGGATTAATTATTCGATACTACCGGAAAACACCTTCAAGAATGTGGAATAGATTTGTGGAGAAACATTAACCCAACACAAATAAATTTTGGACATTTAAGTTCTGCTAACTCTATAATTAATGAAAATAGGATTATTCTTATCGGGCCCATTAAACTATATGTGTATTAAATCCAAAGTCGATAGGGCTTGTAAAAAGACTATTTTTCAAAATCCCAGTAAAGTACGCTTATCTAGAGTTTGAGTCTGCAAACAAACGAAACAGTTTACTTGTCTACTTGAGTTCATTCAGATTTCTAGCCCTCTTAAACTGTCTCAGATGTATCCCTCTGATGGCGTTTGAAAACGCAGATATAGTTGTTAAAAGCTTACTGTTCAATCAACTAATTCAGGGCTCCGCCACCAAGACTTTATAATGACTATTAAGAAAACAATTACATAATGAAAAGATGATCAGCATACAGTATTATGACTGCAATCGCCAAATGCAGAATATCGCTGGATTACAACTATGTCAGTTTATTACTAGTTTTGTTATTAAGCTGGGGCTTTGTGCAAATTAAAGTTCACTCCTCTTGGTCACATCCCTCCCTCAAATAGAGCAGTTGAAGTCTATCATATATCTCTACCGTCTTTCTCAACGCACAGTACCAGTTAGGACAGACGTCATGCTTCTAAAAGTTTCAGCACAGTTCACTACTAACTGTTCACTTGCAGCTCATTTACAAAATACAAGTTTATGTACTATGGTTTGGACCAGATTGTTAGTGACGGCTAGTGGTACAACCTAACTACCCAAATCAAAGTAGCTGACCTGGGGGTCAAGCTTGTAACTTACAGGTTGAATGCTAGTTACTTTAATAAACAGCCATCGCTTCAAATAAGCTTTATATTATTTCACACTCATTCTTTTTTTCTAGATTACTTCTTTATGATTGTTTTCATTTTTAAAGTCACTATTTCTCTTATCTTGTTGCTAACATTTCTTAAGTGTAGTATTTTAACTTGGATTATTACAGTTGTTTACCAATTTGTTCATTATGCTCGTGTGTGTTATGGATACTATCAAACTATCGCAAACTGGAAATTCGCACTTCCGTTAATATATATCGTTGGCAAATACAAAGCGATGTAAATTACAAACTTTCAATTTACATATTTTACATCACAGAGCCTGTTTAAATCTAGTTTAGCGTAGATTAGGTTTACACTTAAGCATCCTGTAAAATCAAAATCCTGGTCATGGCAAAAAATGACAGGTATTCTCGTCATATATTTTGTATAGTTATCTATCTTCTGTAAACTGAGAAAGTCATTATTCTCTTCTTATGCATTTAATTCCTTTTGAAGTTTTCACTGTGCTTTCATAAAAGAAAACAAACGATATGTCTACGTAAATAACCCGGAAATGATCGTTGAGAGTTTGGTGATATAAGTTTGTTTATGTTTCCTGATAAAAGGTTGTGCGATAGTTTAATTTAAAAAGTATTATATGAAGCCTCACTTTAGTATATTGTAGAGACTTACTGTTGACTATTACAGCTTTTTCCTTTCAAACCCCTTAGCCCTAACGATTTCGATCGGGTTAAACCTACTGACCTAGCTTGTCTTGGAATGACAGAAAATGAAATCAATCGACTTGTTAATCAGCTAATAGAAGATGGGTTTTCGGTAGGGAATTTGCTATCGGATGGATATACAGACTATTCCCGTTCATGGTCAGATCCGAAACCATATTCTGCTGCTGACTTTCACCGATCGAAATTGTTACGTAAAGTGAGTGACTGTCCATCAGAACTTTTTAAATTTTAGGTGGTATTGTTTGTTATGATTTCCACTAGATAGCTTGTTATAAACATATAATGCCACTTCTGTTTAATTTTCTATCAAATAGTCTGAATTTTACTGTTGTTGAAAAGGTATGTTCTATTATAGGTTATTTAAGATGAACAGAAAGGTAGCCTACTAACTTGTTGATAAGTCAGAAATAAACTGATGCATATGAAAGTTTCAACCAAATGTTTTACAATCGAGGAAGATGTCTGTTTATCCCGTGATTTTGTATGCCCATTGGAATTCATTTGTTTTTGCAGCCACCCTTATGAGAGTTCCATCAGTTTCACAAAAAATATCAAGTATCTAATTTAAGTCCTAAAAGTCTGGTCTTTGTTTCACGAAAGTTTTGAAAACACAGAAATTAAATTGTAACTCTTTTTTGTACTGTTTATTCACTTTAAAGATCTTCAGATATAGTTACTAGTACTCCAAAAATATCTGAACAACTCTGATATTACTTTTCAGGATTGATCTTAGATTCTTTGAATGAAGTCTTCGTTGTTGTAAATTGTGTTTGTGAAATGTGATGAAATATTCAATACTGAACACAATAAGAGGAGGAAGTAATCTGTAAGACTGCAAGTTAGAGCCTGTAAGAAGTTGTACGTATGTTTAATTAAACGATAAACGTTTTGAAATTGAATTTTGGTCAATAAAATTACAGGTCAGAATATGTTACTTACTGGCAAAGTCTGAATGGTCGGAAAACAAAGGTTATCCCTAATGAATTGATTAAAATTACAATCACCCCAGTCGTTCAGGAAGTCGGTTGCGACTTTTGAGTCACTGAGTGATGCTGGTTAAAGTTTCTGTAGTGGAGTCATTCCTCCCAACATTCTGGCTACGATTTTCTGACGAATGCTAGTCAGAGTGCAACTTAGATTCAACGGTCCCTCCGATATCTTTTAAACACCTATTTTCTAATACATGCTTTGACTTTGTAGACATCAAATCTTATTTATTTTATTTTATTCGAACACAAATATTGATACAAGTGGGCACCAGATATATATGCGCCGCACATCACATTTTATCATTGAGTGAATAAAGGTAAACATGTAAGCTGGGTTCTCTAAATACCACATGATTTCGTTTTTATTCTAGTTGTTTAGAGGAAAACAGTCCTATACTAGTGCTCCAGTATCACCAGCACATGGACTGGAACATCAGTGTAAAGAACAGTTCTCCATTCAGCATTCTTACTGGAGCCAGCATCAAGTATCGTTCCGTTCCACTAGTTTCTCTCAAAATAATCGTCAGAATGTTGTTACTAACTCAGCTGCATTTACATGTCTTATTCCTGAGACGGATATCAAACTTCATTCAAGAATTGGAATTGGTTCGTTTGGTATAGTACGGCGTGGTGATTGGACTATGCCAACGGGCGAAATTGTAAGTTTTCTACCATTTAGTTATGCAATAGTTCGTAACCTGATAGTGACACGTGAGTACATACAGTGGGAATTCATGACTATCCAGTTCAAACAAACCTAAAATACGTAATCCCACCATCGAATTTTAAATAATCCGAGTGTCTCACCCACTCATTTATTCACTTGTTTAAGTGTGTTATCTTTTCTGGGACATGTGCCGCTAATCAGTTTCTCCAAGCAACTTTTTCCTGGGCTCTTCTTTCCATTTGTTGTCAGGTGCTGTTCATGGTCTCAACGTCTATGTTCAGTTTCTAACGTCATGTGTTTTTTTGGTCTACCACTTTTCCATTTGTTTTGAGGTTTCCAAATTGAGGCTTGCCTTGTGATGCGGTCCATTGGGTTCCGTAAAGTGTTTTATTCACCCGTAGTATCTTTCTTATTCCGTCCTCAGTTGATGGCTGCTTTTTGCTCTATTCTTGATAACTTTGGTAGTTCTCTAAGTTTTTGCTCAGTACAATAAAACGGTTTAAACTTTGGTGTTCAAAATTCTGCCTTTGGTCTTGGTTGACAGTTCTCTTAAATTCGAGATATTCTTAAATTTTAGGAATGCTATCCCTACTTTGCCAATTCATCCCTTTACATCCGCCTCAGATCATCTATATCTATCAACAATACTCCCGATGTACATAAAAGCTTCCACCTCTTCCAGAGTTTTGCCATCAAGTTTGATTTATTCGCTGCTCACTGTTGTACTTCAATGTCTTTGTTTTTCCCCTGTGAATGTTGACGCTTGTTTCTGCAGAGACCGCTGCTTCACTGACAGTTTTCATATACATTTTTTATTGTGTATGGGACAGAGTAGCTGTCATCTGAAAAGTTCAAATAATCCATCTATGCTTCTCTTGACATATGGATATCTTCATAACTCAGTTGACAACTAAAAGTAAGAGAAAAGACGAGAATAACCAACCCTGTCTGTCATCAACCTCACTTGGAATCCACCTGTGACCTGACCTCCATACAAGACTTTGCAATTTAGTCACTTGTAGAAGTTTCATATGATGATGACAATTATCTCAAGTATCCCATGGTGTCGGAGAATATTCTACGGAGCTTTTCGACCCACGATGTTGAATGGTTTCTCATAATCAAGGAAGTTCATGTATAGTGATGAGTTACATCCCATCGATTGTTCAACAATTATCCGTAATGTCGCAATTTGGTCGGTAAGTAGTTAATTCTTACGAAAGCTAGTTGGTTGGCCTAGGGGTTGGGTTCCTACTGGATCTTTCATTCGATTGAGTAACACTTTGTTGAAAACGTTTTCTGATGCTGACAGTAGTGTCATACGTCTGTAGTCCTCACACTTACTATGATCTCATTTCCTCGGTATTTTGAAAAGATACCCTTTTTCCCACCCTGTTGGTATTTGTTTTACCTCCCAAATATTCTTTTAGGGGACATGGGACATCTATTCAGTTTCATCTATCTGACTTCAGTGCTTCAGCTTGTATGGTATCTAATCGTGGTGGTTTGTCATTGTTTATTTGATGGGCCTTGCTAATCTCTGTTGTTGGTGTTGTATCGTCTATAGGAAGGTCTATGTATGCTCCATAGATGTCCGATGTGTTCAGTGGTAGTGGTCTATTCGAGAGCTCTTCAAAGTACTTTACCCGCCTGTTGTTAATGCCTCAAAACCGCAGTGATTAGTTTACCTTCCTTGTTCCTGAGTTAGTGGTTGATATGTTATACCCTGTTTCTCTGAAAGCTTCCTGGTTATGTCATACTGTTCTCTCACATTTACTTCTCGTTTAGCTTTTTTCTGTATTTCCTGGGTCTTTTACATATTTCCACTTGTCACCTCCAATGTTATTCTTCACTCGTTCATTTGCTTCTGTATATTTGGCCTATGCTTTGGTTTTCGCTGCCTTCCTTCAGCTTTTGTTAACTACTGTCTTCTCTTTTTCCCTTTCTTAAATCGTATTTAGGCTGTCTACAGAGATCCCCTCCTTATGTTGGTGCCTCTTGAGGCTCAGTACTTTGTGGCATGCTATAGTTATTCTGTAATTTCTTTCTATTTGCCTTCTGTAATGTTTTCGTTTTCTTGTAGTAGATCTTGTAAGGCTTGGAACTTGTTGATGAGTTGTGTATTGAACTCAGTGAGCTTGTCAGCGAATCGAATGAAGGTTGTATTAAACTTTCATGGTGCTGCCTATCCAGTTGTTCAGTGCTTCTATAGCTTTAGTTTTAGTCTTGTCACCACCAAGTGATGATCTGGATATGTATCAGCTCATCTCTGTTTTTACGCTCTCCATGGAGCTTCTGAATATTTTATGTATGAAGATGTGATCAATCTGTAAGGCGCATAATGCTTTGCGAAAGGGTTTATGGGGAAAAACGGATCTCCCTATGACAATAGCGGAAGCACGTAGGTCTACCATTCCCTCACCATTGTCGTTTCTTTATCACGGTCTAGGTCTCTCCATGATACGTTCATACCTGATGTTGTACATTTTGATCTTGGCGTTAAGACCATCCATCAAGATGAGGTATCATCCTCTTAGCTTCCGAAGAATCTCGGCTTACACTATGAGGGACGTCATAACTCTTGTGTATGAAGATACTTTAAATCCCAGAGCAGAGTTTAAATGTTTCTTTGGAGCTAACGCTGTTTTAGCGGGATTTTATTTACGAGGTATATTTTTTTCTAACCCTATGCCCAACCCTTCACCTTTACCCGGGCTCGAAACAAGCAGCAACCCTAGAAAGGTTTCAGGTGGATTTTTGTGTAATCCAGCAATCCAAATTATCAATATTTTCGATAGATAAGGTGAATTTTTTGGTTTTTCTTAAAGAGCTGATGATTGTGTCTCTAGCTTAACTGTTCTCAATAAAAACTTTTGTCCCTACAGATTCCTGTGGCTGTGAAATTATTAAAACCAGAAGCAATGAAAAGTGATTTATTCACAGGATTCTTGTATGAAATTCGTGCGATGCAATGCCTTTCACATCCTAGTTTAGTTCGTCTTTACGGGATTGTTCTATCTAATCCAATTATGATGGTAATTTAATCTACGGTATTAAATTTTGGAAATTTTTCTCTTTTGTTTACCCAAATCCATTAAGTTTTGAACCTCACACAGAGGTGTGACTTTAAGCCAAGTATACAAATTCGGGTTCAACAAATTATTTATCTTCTGATTGTGACTTTATCTTATAACACTCAGTGGTTGGTCTTATTTAACGTGAAACCAAAATTGGCTGGAATGTAAAGTTATTTGTTACTCATTATAAAAGAGATCTGTATTTCAATATGAAAAATACTATCAAGCAAAATAAAGCCTTTGATGTCGTTAGAAGAAGTAGTATTTGAATGAACATAAACCTAGAAGGTAGAGTTAGATTAGTCTTACATATCTGCTACCCCAAAATATAGTATATATATATATATTGTTATACAATAAACAAAGAGGTAGAACGGAGGGAAGGAATGGAAGAATGAAAAAGTTTGGTTTCACTCCTTAAAAGTTTATTGGCTTTTGATTGACACCTTCCATCGAGTAGGATCTTAGACTTTGATGAATGAGTTCTCAACTGTTAAAAATGAAAGAAAAGAACCCCTACTTATAGATAATATGCAGTTATACGCATAAGCCAAATGACTGTTGCTCGCAAAACAGAATCAAGACCCAAATTGAACTGATTTTCTCAAATTAAGGGAGCTACCAAATAGAACAGATTTTTCTTTCCATCAAACAACATGCTGTTATGTATTTGACCTAGGCTGTAGCCAATTGTTATGACTTGACCAAGGTCGTCGCTGATTCATTATGACCTTACGAATTTAACAAGGACGTGATTCGCGTAAATTATCCACCAATAGAATACGACCTTCACACTGTGACAATGACGTTAGTATGAGTAATCTAGCGTCCTTATTGGTCCTTATCCGCCTAACCCGTCCACTTGAGTCCAAAACACCAATAGCAGCTGCTGTAATGCGAATCGTTTATTTCAAACATACTTTGTCTATATACCAAACAGGCAGACCACACCACACCATAAAATAGAAAATAATATTTGTACAAAATCAAGCCAAACGTGGCTGGAAGCGTGGGAGACAGTACTCAATAAACCGAGTATAATTTAGGAACAATAAATCATATAATAATAATCAATAGGTCAAAGTGAAGCTAGTAATAAGATGAATATAGACATAGATAATCCAGTTACTGAATGGTTATTCCATAGGAATATAAATAGATTAATAGTCTAATAAGAGGTCCCGTAAGTTATCAGTACTTACTTTTTTCCTAGTATATAACGCATGCTTTTATGTAAAATATTAACAGAAGAATAAACATAATCAAATGTCATAGGCGATTAGAGGAAATAAATTTTTTAGGGCACTCACACTTCAGTCAACTATGACTTCGGTCATCATATCACATCCTAGCTATTAATGATTTATGTATCACTTATTTTGATTATTATGTAGTTAATCATCAACAAAGTCAAATAAAAAGCTAAGAGTTTTTCATTTTTATATTTGTTGAGAATTGCAATTTGTGTGGCCTTATCTTTTTCTCTTTTTTTGGTGTAGTTCGTTTATGCATTGTTCTTAACATCTCACACATATTGAATATCATCCATAACACCATTTTTGTTATACATATAAGGAAATTTCATTTTTCATACCTTTATTTCAGGTAACTGAGTTAGCGCCATTAGGAAGTTTATTATTACATTTAAGAGCTCAATCAATGTGTGCCAATAATAATAATTCTTGTAAAACAAATGACGTAAGAGCACATTTCCCGTCTGTACCTCGGGCTCTTCAAATTGATGCATTATGGGATATGGCTATTCAAATCGTCCGTGGTATGGCCTATTTAACATCACAAGGACTAGTTCATCGCGATTTAGCAGCTAGAAATATTTTAATTTCATCAATTCCAAAAAATGAATATCCTCAAATTAAAATAGCTGATTTTGGTTTAGTTCGGTCGTTAGAATCATGTACAGTAAATAAGAAAAAATTAACTGAAAATGAATCAGATGAACCAATTTATACTGGATGTTTGGAACAGAAAATTCCATTTGCCTGGTATGTAATTAATTCATAATCGTAATCATTATTACAATAGGCTATCCAAATACATTAAGTTTTTTCTAACTGTGCATAAAAAATTACATCATTGACAAGGAAAATTTTATTCAGTAAGATTAAGTAGATAGACAGATAGGCAGGCACCATGCAATTGAACATAGCTCCAAGCATTTTTTGCAGTACAATTCAATAACAAATCAAAACCGAGACCAATCATATTAAATGAAGGTCAAAATAATATTTTTTGTATTTTTTTTTGATATTTTTCTAAACTTCATCTTGTTATGACTGAAATCACATGTTTATAATTCTCTTCACATTGTCAACTACCTATTCTTAAGCAGGAAATTGTTGTCATTATACTTTTTAATTTAGACTTTGTGATGGAAACAGACTTCATACAGTGTGTTACGTGGTTGAAGGTAGTAAACAGGAAGTTTTGAATGACCTAAATTTCGCGTTGGTTGCCACTCGTCGACAAGGTATACCTGCAATATTGAAAGAATTAATGTTCACGGTGAAATCCAAGCCCACATAAACCAACTTCACAGTCTGAAACTTTACCACTGATCATTATTATTATTATTATTTAAACACATAAATATTGGTACAAGGGAGCACCAGATATATATGCGCCACACAAAACAATGGGAAGAGAAAAGGGGTAAGGTGCATATAAGAAAAAACAGGAGAACAGTAACAACCACAGATTAGTGTATGTTAGTGTAATAATAAGAATAATAATGAGGAAACGGAAAGGTACAACCAGAACATCTCTGTCAGTTAAGGAATTTATGACCACTCTTTATGAAGAAAGTAAAAGAAGGTTACTGCAGGATCGCCACTGGCTTCCATTCTGAGTCATATCTGATGGCGCCTCTAGCCACTGTGTTGCACTGTCTCTCGGACCCCAGCCAGGGAGTCGTGAAAAACCAACAGAAGCCAGCCCTTTGCAGCTTTCTTTCATACCACGACACCATGTTATACACTGACCACCTCTCCGCTTTTTCCAACCAGCCCGAGCGTTGGCAAATAATGCACGCCGAGGAATTCTCTGAGACGACATTTGTAGAACATGTCCAAGCCACCGAAGTCGATGTGTTCAAGATGGTGACACCAATTGGATTATCGTCTCCGCGCCCGAACACGCGATGTCCCCCGATAGTTGTTACATGAACGACGTGCACCCTTTTTAGAGACAGGGACAACTATGGACTCATTCCAAGACGTTGGAACACTCTTTAGCTCCCAGACCTTTGTAAACAACTCAGTCAATTCCTTAGCCAAAAAGTCACCATCATCTTTAAAAGAAGCCGGAGGTAATTCATCTGTGTCCGGTGATTTGTAGCGTTTAAAGAGTTGGAGTTGCTTGTGGACTTCCGCCTCATTTGGTGGATCAGTCGTCACCGACCATGGATTGCAGGACAGTGTGATCGATGTTGCCGTAGCAACAGGCCAGTTGAACTGCCCTTCGAAAAACTCTACCCATTGTCCAAGACGTCGATAAATGTTAGTAATTGGCATCGCATCATCTTCACAGATTGTTTCACTCACACCAGACTTCTTGCTGCCAGTGGCTCGGATGAGTTTGAAGAGCTTCCGGCAGTTTCTAGATGCAGCTACTGCTTCCAGCTCACTAGCACGCTCCGACCACCAGGCTTCTCGGTCCTTACTCAAGCTTCGCCCAATTTCATTGCGTAACAGCCTTTGTTTGTGGTCAAACTCATGGTCACCCGGCGTAGACTGACGGGCTTCTATGAGTTGTAAGGAGCCAGAAGAAACCCAGTGCTTCTATGCGTGACGTTTCGCGAAGCTGCAGTCGACTTTACTCGCCATTTTCATGGCGTCATGCAGTTGCAACCAATGCTCATCTATACTTTTCGGTGGGATGGTCGCTATTCTAAAAGCTAGATCGGTTCGATACTTATTTGCAACAGAAGTTGCAACCAATTCACTGACATCAATCCGTTGATGACGACCAATTCGTTGACCACTGAAAAATGAGGTGAGATTGGCGCAGACGAGGCTGTGATCAGAGTCCAGATAGATACTTCAAAAGGTGCGTTAGTCTTGTACACAACCACGCCAGCGGCAGCTGATCGCGATGTGATCTGTCTTAAATTATGCTCTAAATAAATGTAAATAGGAGTACAATAACATGATTTGATTTATAGCAGTGATAACTATAGGATAGAAGGTATTTGTATTAGCATACTGTGACTACGACATTCTCAATGATACAGCTGATTTCATAATTTTTTTTAAATAATCTACTAACACCAAACAAAATTTTAGCTGTCCTCCGATTTAGCATTTTTATATATACCCAATCTATCAAAAGACTAATATAGTCTGTATTCATTGATAGAAACCTACTGTTTCAATCAAAACACACTGATACTGCAGTTATATTAAGCAACCTCAAGGCTACTTTTAGCGTCCTGGTACTTCATACTCGATTATTATCATATTTGAAGTTTTAGAATTTAAGACTATGTAAACACTTATTACGTCACATCATACTAAATGATGCTTTTAGGAGAATAGATTCTTCACTACTGCATGGCAAATCGGAATAAGCTGATTCGTCCATTTTTCAGTTAACGGGCTTCATAGAATGATTCGAGATTTTAGAAGATTCCTATGTAGATTTCAATCCTTATACTACTTTTTTTGTTCTGGTTTACTGATATACATTGTTACCTCTTAATTGTTGTTCTCACTTGAGGCGAGTCAAGTAAAGTGTCCAAACAATATTGAATTGGAGAAGGTAACAGCTATGATTATCACAACAAGAGCTATGAGCTGTAATCGATCTCCTGCGTGCAGTAGCTGACAAACTGTAGGTTCCTCTTATTATTATTGGTAGTAGTCTTCTTGTTATTGTTGAGCTTTTTGAACGTTTAAAAAGTCAGTAGTTTCTCTAGACGAGAACACGAAAAACACTTTACTAGTAACCATGAATTTCACATCAATGTGATTTCTGTCTTACATGGTTTCTATTTTACATCTGAATAACGTGCGCATTTTATCCTAAGAGGAACTACGGCAAAAAAGCTTTTATCGCCCTTAATTTGCTGCAAGGTATTTAAGTTTTACATAGCTATAAGTAGGTTATTTTGTTGTATTTCTAGGTCCGCTCCAGAATCTTTGCATAAACGAACCTTTTCTGAAGCAAGTGACATTTGGAGTCTAGGTGTTACGTTATGGGAAATGTGGACCGGTGGTGCAGATCCTTGGTCAGGTCTCACTCCTGTGCGTTTGTTAGAGCTTTTAGATTCTGGTCGTAGGTTGGTATGGCCCCGGTTTACCTGTCCACGTCGTTTATACCAGATAATGTTAGCTTGTTGGAGAGCTGAACCATATCGTCGACCGACTTTTTCCTACCTTGCCGAAAGATTAGATCAGGTAAAATTTATCCTGCAATGTATTGCAAAGCTTATGAGTCTTTATTGATTTCTATTTCAATTAGCACTATATGCTGGGGTAACAAAATACAACAGATAACCTACATTTTTGATACTACTCATAACTTTGAAAGGGCATTAAAGCTCCCATAGCTACTTAACGTATAATGATATTAAGATTTCAACACCTAACTGGTTAACTATTATCTCCGTCACCTGGAAATTTGTTCTCCATTCACCAATGGTTCAAAAAAGTATTAAAGTTAAGCTTACAACCTATAACTGCCATTTATCATTACTCAAGTTGACATTAGTAACAGGTTCGTAGTTGTATTGTATGGCGATTCACAAATTGATTGAAGTACAGTTTTTATATGTTTGTATCGTTAATTTATCACTTTGATTAGCATACAGTAATCAATACCCGGTTAGTTAGTTAGGTGGCATAACTAATACAACTACTCAACTAGTGCTGGTTAGTCTCAACAATGTAATGGTCAATTCAAGTCAGAATGGTTTCTACCAAAAAGATATACCTTGTTCAGTAACAGTGCCAAATCAACAGTTCATATAAATTGATCTAAATTTTAAATCGAGAATCCAAATGCTCCATTTTCATTGAAATCATGAACCAATCTAAGTTATACCACCATTAAAAGCCTGAAAGCACTGGACGACCGTTTCACCCTGATATGGGACTCCTCAATTGTACACACCTACAGTCCCCCATGCAGGAATCAAACCCATGATCTCTTATCTCTAATGCGAAGCCATTACCGGTAGAGCTAATCCGTATCGGGTGTGAGTCAGTTACCCACATAAGACAATGCAAGATGGTCGCGCTATGTTGTTGGTTAGTTGAGATTAGGCATTAACACTGAATGCCGACCCAGTGGTCTAGAGGTTTAGCGAGACCGAATTACCTAGATTCGATTCCCACACATAAGACCATGGGTGTGAACTGTTGAAGAGTCCCATACTAGAACGAAACAGCCGTCCAGTGCTTCCAGGTTTTCAATGGTGGTCTAAAACTAATCGGTTCATGGTATCAATGAAATTCAATAGTCTCTACAACCTCATACTGAGAATATTTTATTTTATCGTAATATATATTTCATGTATTACCCATTTCGTTCGTAAAATCATTACCGTCTTATAAACGACCGTTTAATAGTGTATTGATTAAAAGAAACTGGGAGCTTCCAATTTTCACACATTTTAATTCACTAGTGTGCTTTTTGTCAATAATTGTACATACTAAGCATTTATATATTACGATGAAGTTAACTTCTGTATAGTTGACCTTGTCTTTCAATCTATTCTGAGTACTGCTTGTAATCTGATAATGTTCAGTTTGTTAGTTTCCTGTTACCTTACATTGTTTGAATTCAAGAAAATTAAAAATATATGGATAGTTACTTCATTATTTCGAATTCTATCAATATGAAATGTAAAATTCGTTGTTTAGATATGATTTTGTATTTTTTTATTCATTAATCATTTTTTTGTAATTCTTTATATATGTGACAAAAATGATAGATTCGTCCAACTATCGTTATAGCAACTCAAAATCTTGATGAAGCCGATCGTCTAGGCTTAGAAGCAGGTGATACTGTTATTATTATTGACGGAAAACCCCGTGAATTTTGGTGGCGTGGTCAAAATACGCGAACTGGTGAAATAGGCTCATTTCCCCATGGCATTATTAAACTTTGTAAAAACACTACACAGACTTGTAAGTTATCCTTACCTATGTCCACATAGAACATTCACTTCAATAATCAATATGTTGTATCCATTTTATTCTGTATTCCTTAATTGATATCTGGAATTTTTATTAATTATACAACGTATATTCTTTTGTCCTATTATAAGGTAAACTTAATAAGAGAATATAGCTGATAGACTGTCAGAAATGAATATTCCTTAACAGTATATTTTAATGATTCGTTTAGTTTGCTGAATATTTAAATTGTAAAATGAAAGTAATTGTTTATACGAGGATTTGTCAATACTTAAACGAAGAGTTTAATAGAAATTGTGTAAAAGATTATATTTCAAATAGTCTCAGTAATTGACATTTAAATAATTCCAACGTTTCGTCAGATAAACTTGTCTATGCAATGCTAACTAGTGTTGGGGATGGTTGGAAGAGAGTTACGGACTGCCAAACCAAAAAGTGGCATCAGAGTTTGAAGTCACTAGCTTCTAATCTGAGCCATGTTGGTAGATGCAGACTACTTGGTTGGGGTTTGTGTGACTATCGTAACCAATGGTTGGAGACTCTGTGTGACATGGGTCAGAATCGATCACAATGGCATAGGTGTGTACACTCTCTGTCTTCCCTTAAACTGTGAGATTAAAGTTAGTTTATATGTTTCTTTCTACGAACTAATTATTTCTTCCTGTATTATATCCTTATATTCAATCTTTCTTTTATATCTTACTACCATTGAAGTAACTGCTTCTATGAATTTGTTGTTCATCTTGTTATGTTAATGTTGAGGTGTGGGAACTTGAACGGATGCATATATGTGTCTGGTCCTACGTTGTAGCTGACTGACCTGATTGAAACTTGTCTGGGCTTCTGTGTAATAATCAAAATAATCACAGAATGTTCCAGACAAGTTTGTTGGATGAAACATTGGAATTATTTTAATTTCAATCGCTGAGATTGTTTCAAATAAAATTTCCACAAAGTTATCGTGTAAATGTCATCAAGCTAAGTGCGTGATATAATTTGTCCGAATCAATAAACATTCATATTATTGAGAATTTTCAATAAGACTACAAATTGCTTTAATTTTTTTCACATAAATTTTACCGTGTCACTTTTCACTGTATACATTAGTCTATCTTCTACTGTTAAGTATCTTAAATAGGAAAGTGAAGGAAAATGTATATGTCGAATACTTTACATAATGTACAGAAATGACAGATGTGTCTGTGAGAATTACCTTTTAGACCTAAACACGTTTATGTAGACTGAGACCTTGTATAACTACAACACTACCTTCCCCCAATAGTGTGCCTCGTTTGCAACCTCTAATCTGTTGTTTGCTTTCGAAATTGTTTATGAGCACATACACATGTTGTGTCTATGCTCACCTATATCGTGTCAACTAGAGAGATTAAAATTTGAATTTTTCTGCACAAAACCATATCCAAATTGTATTTTGCATACATTTACATGCTTTATAAGATAGACATTGTCACGTAAGCTAATCAACTAGGTAGTCTTAATGGTGGGACACATTAGAATATTTCACGTTAAATGTAACTTTAGGTAACAATGGTTTTCTCTCCTTTCTAACTGAATTGATTTTCTTGTTCTTTCCTCTCATTATAGTTGATGATATAAATCAATCATCGCTTCGTGATTCTTTGTTACATGATAAACAGATTAATAAAAATCAAACAGAATCGAGTTTATTACAATACAATATATCGCATACGTAAGTATCTCAAATTGAATTAATTATCTAAAAAATAATAATGCCAAAAATTGTCTGTTAGTCTTAAATATTCTTTTCAATTGCATTTTTAAAAATCCATTCTTCCTACATGTCAAACCTCAACACATTTTGTTCTCTGTTCTCGTTACTAAGATTCGCAACTGGTTCAATTTGGATGAAGAAAAGTATTGAGTTGACTTTAACCACATTTATTCACGATAAAAGTCACTTTTAGCACTGACTTCATTTATATTACTTCCTCACACTGATAGGGTTTTTGTATGCATTCCAGTAAGTATATTTATGATAGATTCAGTTCCTGCTTTATGAAATGATTAACAAATATTCAAAATATACAGATGATATGATAAGCAAAGTTTTAATTTATAAACAAAAACAGTAATTTACACCTAAATTGAAATGATAGAATGGAGTCAAAGTGAATGGATAATACTCCACTATAAAGCATATCAACTAGCTCTATCATAAGTGAGTGATAAGTCATGTGAATATAAAAATTGTATACATTTCATATAAACTGTATTACTTATTGAACGAAAATAAAGACAATTCAGGAGAGAAAACTCTTTTCAACGAAATGATTTACTTTGATCGTGTATTAAGAAGACGGCTATCAGAACTATGTGATATATTCGCGTAATACATTTCGAACAACCTGATGACACACATACTTGTTAAAAACATTTATTTATGAAAATAAAAGGTCAAATAGACAAACGGAAGGTGGAGAGAAACAAACGTAATGAAGAAAATAATACGAAAAAATATAGATACTCATCACACTGGATAATAACCTAATATTACCAGTTGTATACACGAGTCAATCTAAGCTAGGCTACCATTAAAAACCTGAAAGCACTGGACTGCCGTTTCGTCCTAGTACAGGACTCTTCAGCTGTGCTCATCCACGACTCCGCACGTGGGACTCGAATCCAGAACCTCCGGTCCCACTCACGAACACTTAACCTATAGACCCCTGAACCGGGATCCAATGGTGTTAATGTCTCATTTCAATATTACCAGGTAAGGTTTAAGGAGAGAACAAACTATTTTTGAATACATATAGGGGGGTGGGTTAAATTTTCATATGGCTAAGGCTCCAATCTACTTTAATATACGCACTTCAACACTTTTGTACAGCATCACAAAAGCCGTATTAAGATCAGTCAATATTTACCATACATATTTATCAAACAGCTATAAATACAAACATACAGCTTAAGTAAATGATTTCGTTGAGAAGAAAATTTCCTTTGCTGTATTCCCCTTCTTTTTTTATTCAATAACACAATCGATTGTATTGTAATTATATATTAGTTCTTTGTAATGTATTTTATTAGAATATTTAGTGTTTTTATAAAAGAAAACATTTATTTGTTCAACGCTTATTGGTAATATACTACTGATAGAACATCAACTCTCTTTTTGGAATTTTGCATATTATGCATTTTACTACTTGTTAAATATCACCGAATAAATTTCCTAATATTTTCAAGCATCTTTTTTTCTTTTATAACGATTCCTCAGTTGATCAAATTCTGGCTAATGGAGTTTTTTTCTTTTTAATTAGCATAGAGTACTTTTGAATAAAATAAGTATTATTTTTGTTATCATTTATTTCAAGCTTACATGTCAGCCCCCAAATGCCCTGTTATGGCGAGAGTGAGGAGAGTCTACTCTCCCTCTCGAAATGCTTTCACATGGCCAGCGAATATATAGACTCTGCCAGGGAAGTCCTACTCACTGCCTTCTCGTGGCGGGGGTGTTGTTTACGAAAGTGAGAGGACGAAAAGCGAATGTCCAGCGCTTTAACCGGGTTGGTGGACATGGAGGGTCCACCTAGGGGAGTTGGAAAACCCTGATTCCGAACCAGTGGTGCACATGGGCTCCAGTATCCTGATGGAACGAATGGCGGACGAACCTGTCATTGGTCAACGGCTACCATGGGACTGTATCTCCTTACAATGCTCCACTGCCTTGTGGACTAGACCTTTAGGTCAAAGGCTCCGGGTGTGGCCCCCCGAGAAAATCACCTGCTTGAGTTTGGGCACCTGGGCAGTATCACAGCCCTCACACAAATCAAATGAGATTTGTGCAGCGCATATATATCTGGTGCCTCCTTGTACCAATATTTATGTTTAAATAATAATAATTAATAATAGTTTACAGGTCTAAAACGTTTCATTTTCCAAATTCGTGTAGTTATCGTGACCTGTCTTCTACTCCTACTGATGAAAAATGTGATAAAATAAAAACCAAAAACCAAAACATATTCGATTGTTCAAATCACAATCTATTACCATATGATGATAATTCGTTATTATCCGGAACTTCGTTCAATGATATGGAAAATGAATCAGTATGCCGTACTATGGATTCGTATTCTTCGTCTTATGGATGTCTGTTCACTAACTCATCACTTTCAAATGCACCAAATCTGGATAAATATGATGATGAAGATAATAATAATGAAGGACAGGAAGATGAGCGAAGAATTCTCGATAAAACACCTAATTCAACTGTAGGACTAAATGCTTATAATGTGGAATTACGAAAATGTCCCAAATCTGAGTTAATAAACAGTCACAGAAAGTCAATTGCCAACTATGTTGCAAATGGCTACAATGACCATGAAGGTAAATTCCACTAATTTTTTGAATATTTTTCATCGTCAGTGTAAGTTGATTTTATTTCATATCATTTCATTTTTCTTAGCTTTATGTTTTGACTTGTCTTCACATTTCATTTACTTTCATTAATAAACGTAATGTCCTGATGTTCTGTAAGTGATATATCTGGTACCCGAACTGTTGACACTGATTTTCTAACAACTTTTTAGTCACCCAGAAAAGTTCATTCGAGCCCTGAATAGAAAACAAAGTGTTGTTACCTTGGTATTCTAAAAGCTTCTGAATTTTTACTAAAATTATTAATTACATCCGTAATTATACAATCACGATGTGGAAAAGTTTATTTTTTTTCTTCTAAAACTCCAGGGATTTTATATTGGACACTGATTGACGTATGTATTTTTAGCCATTTCCTAGTTTCAGAAGAATTCTGAGAAATTCTCAAGGGTTCTCAGTAAGCAGAACGCGTAGTCAGTATTCTCATATAAGCTACATGCTTGAAATCTGTCAGTAATCCAGTGACGATAAAAAATAAATTTTTAATGATAATTGAAAGGATATTATCAAAGTTGCATTTTTAATTTGTTTACTTCTAGAAATGTAAGGTTTTGTTCATAATAAAATTGTTGTAATGGATTGAAAGTACTCAATCTTTTCAGTTATCAATCATTTTGAGGAATTAATTAACAGTATCATACATTTAACATATCATTTTAACTAGTTAGTTTTAACTAGTTAAGAAACGGACATACAAGTTTTGAATTATTTTACGAGTTGCAAATAAGCGATTCAGTTACTTGACACTCATCCACGCTGTATCGAGTTTCAAATACACTTATTTCCATCCGATAATCCAGACAGAATCACTAGTCCTCATACACTAATCATACAAACTTCAGTGGTTGACGTTTGGCGCATATGTATCTGGTGCCCCTTTGTACCAATATGTATGTGTTTAAATAAAATAAAAACAGTGGTTGACTGTAAATTAAATGAACTTATTAGTATACGGTTGTGGGATTTTTTTCGAGTTTTTATTGAGATCACGAACCAATCCAAGTTAGACCACTATTGAAAACCTGGAAGAACTGGACGACCGTTTCGTCCTAGTATGGGACTCCCCAGTAGTAGGCATCCACAACCCCAAAATCTTCTAGAGGTTCTGTTAGAAAACCGTGACCAGCGGAGTCCAACCGTGTTTTATGCGAGGCATTTACCCACCGAAGACAATGGAAGATGGTTGCACAATGTCGTTGATCAGTTGGAATTAGACATTAACATCGTTGGATGCCGGCTTAGCTGTCTATAGTTTAAGCGTTCGCGCTCGAGATCTTAGGTCCTGTGTTCGAGTCTCGACTTCAGGATTCTGGATGTACACTATTGAGAAGTCCCATACTAGAGTGAAACGGCCGTCTATTGCTTCCAGGTTTTCAATGGTGGCTCAACATTGATCGGTCCATGATCTCAATAAATGAAATTGGTATTTATTAGATAATGAGCAGTTAAATAACAATGATGGAACATTTAGAAATATACTGCTTTAATCTATTATTATTTTAATTGCTTTTGTATCAAATATTTTGGTTTATGGTATTTCCACATTGCTCTTATCGTAATATTTCATTTAACTCATCAACTGTTTATAGATCTTTCACCGTCCAAAAATTATAATTAATTAATCATACACCTATTTCTCAGTTTTACACTATAAATGATCTATTTATGAACGGTCAGTGTTTTTCTATTGACAGTATATCTCATAACTAATTCATACTATCATATGACTTTTCGAGTTCTAATAATTGGGCTTTGGAGCAGAGGAGAGTCGGCACGAACCAATAAGTGTTAGGATAACCGGGCTTTTTTATTGTCTATGTGTAGGGCATTATTATTATTATTATTATTATTATTATTATTATTATTATTATTATTATTATTACTAGTTCAGTGATCCTATTAACTGCGGGAGTATATAAAAGTTGAATTCACAACCGTATTCTTTCTAGTCATCATGTTATTCTTTTTTTCATTTTCTGTAGTTTGTAGTTATAATCCCATAACTATGTTGCCACCACCTCCTGGACCGGAAGAACACGAGACTATCATCTGCAAAGATGACATCAACAGCAAAAATTTTTCCGATGCTTCTGTACAATGTACAAAAGTTAAAGATAATGTAAAACATTTATCTGATGAAGATAATCTTGATAAATCTGACATTGGTACAATGAGTAATAATCATCTAGTTGAAAAACACAATACATCATCAATTTCTGAAAGTATAACTCCGTCAAAGAAACATTCATTTTCACTTGACAATTTATTAGATGAAGTTGCTTATATCAGTGCCAAAGATTTTGATTGCGAGCCATCAGCCCCACCTTTAATTGATCTTTACAGTCCTGTACCAGATCCATCGGTATTTATTCCTAGATATCGTATTACGGTAAATTTTCTTGTTCCCTTTTAATTGATATTGATAAAGTACTCATTTGGAATTTTGTTCCTTAGTTTATTTTGATTATCTCTAGTGTGAACTTGGTTGATTGTTCGACGTTGTTAGAAATAAATAAGTAGAGGAGCGGACAGGAAATTCTCATCGTAATCCAGGCTATTTTGTTTTTGGTTGATTGGTTGTACCACTGTATGTAACGTAGTTGTTAATCATATTTCAGTGTCAATTCAATTTTCGATTGTTAAATATGAAAAATATCTTGTGAACCAGGGATATGAAACCGATGCTTGATCCTCTCATGTAGCGAATAAATTTTCAATTGTTAAAATAAGAGAAAATAATCTCAATTAATAGATGATATGCAGTGATACAATATGACCGAGTGATGGCTGGTCACATGACCGAACCATTGATTTAAACCACCAATCAAACCGATTTCAAAACTCCGTCTTCTCATTGTCCCATCGAAATTTATAAAAAGGATCAATTGCTATAACTTCATTGCAGAGAAACATACATAATTGTATGTCATAAGCGATTAAATGTAACCAACTTTGTAGATCATTCTCACTCTAGTTTATTAATACCTTACCTACCCATCATATCAGATTCACAATACTACCAATATTGATTTTATTATTTCAATTAATACATTGTATGGGATTATTTAAGTATTCAGAATTATCACCAAAATGCATAATGAGGTTATAACTTGTTACATCTTGGCCAATTGGATAATACTTCCCTCTATTGTTACTCATAAATCTTCAAGTGTTTACTTCATTGTATTTGTTAATTTGAAACTGAAGTATTGAAACAGTTCTTCATTATTTTTAGCGATATTTAAATTTCTGTATGGTCGGTATTCGACTACCATATATTTTATCCTATATCATAGACAAAATCTGAAACTCATAAACTACCAACTGTCAGTTGAAAGAACATTTGTAGTATAGTGTCAGTTGCTATGCTAGCCCACATAGCTTATTCTAGCCTCCGGAAAAGTCAATTTATTTATTCTACTCAAGTCATATTTTGACCTTGTTAATTATTCCCTTGTCGCCCTTGATTGCTTTTATATGAACGTGTGTATGTGCACATCTTATCCTATTCATCATATGCCTGTAACTTTTTTTGTTCCGCTATAAATAATGATTAACGCCTGATTAAATAGAGTTGGCTCACACACCATCTTCACTGCGCGTCATTTCGCTTCGTCCCTCTGATTGTCTGTTCAAATCAATGAGTATACAAAATATATGTATTCAAAAACCCGACCGTTTCTGCTACCTTGACGTGGTGGTCGGGCTTGTCCATCGGGATGAACCAATCGAGGTATACTGGCTGGGACAATCGTTCCTCAAGGTCCTACCATGTCAGGCAAATCGGTTGAAGAGCGGTAAGACTAAAAGCAGCAAACCCAAGGTCCGAAGGCGAAGTCGTACTGTTGACTGTACAGAGGTGTGACAGCAGTAATGTGTTTCCTTCAGACAACCAGCATAACAGCGATGCTGCCTTCCCACAAGGAGGGGTGGGGTTAGAAAAGGTCGACCCTAAAAATGCACACCTCGCCTTATCCCACGGATATCCGTCTCCAGCGGTAAGGTTTTTTGAAGAACGGAGCTAACACAAAAACTACCCACAAAAAGGTCGTGTGTGACCGACCCCAAGCAGTTGTCCCTTGGGCACTGCGGTCACACTCTCAGATCATTAAGACCACTTCTAACCCAATTTCCTTTTCAGGTACCTCTAGAAGAACCCTTACACGGTGTTCGCAGCCGGGAAGTTATAACTTCCCTCATACCTCTAACAGCACTCAAAACCACTGTATTCATTATCAATCTCCTTCTCCAATTCCTACTATTCCTTCTACCTTGACTTTCAACACTAAACTTCCTCTCTCGGTTTCCTCCTCAAGTGTCACCATGGCCAACGATTCTAGTGCGCGAAACGCTGTCCCAGGTCTACTTAAACCTCGTTCTAAACTGCACATTGGAGCCTTCAACGTACGTACCCTAAGTCAAATCGGTCAACAGGCCTCCTTGGCTAAGACCCTAGAATCTCGTACCATTGATGTATGCTGTGTCACCAAAACACGCATACAGGATCCTAGTGTTGTCATTCACTTGACTTCACCTCGCCAAAACGGAGTGCCGATGAGATACACACTCCGTGAATCTGGCGACCCGATGAACTTACAGGTGTAGGTAAAGCACTTAGTACGAACTCAAGACAAGCACTATTAGGATGGATCGCTGTTAGTATTCACCTATGTGTTGTTCGGCTAGACGGCTCCGTAAGAACTTGGAAGGATAGGGACACATGTCGTTTCTACGTACGCTCCCACTGACTGCAGCCCGAATAAAGAGAAAGATAACTTTTACAGAAAGCTCTCTGAACTTCTTCATAAAGCTAAACTCTCAGACATAGTGCTCGCTGTAGGTGATTTTAATGTCCAAGCAGATAGCTTAAACCAATCAGAAAGACATGTAAGTGAGTATTTTAGTATCCCGGCTCAGCAAACAGATAATGGTGATCGTCTGTTGCAACTATGCTCAGATAATCGTTTAACTTTAGCAAACACTAATTTTAAGCATAAGGAGAGACATCATCTAACATGGCGACCACCTGTACCAAACCAACGATGGACTCAAATAGACCCTATTGCCATCAGTCATCGTTGGAGAGACTCTCTAAAAGATTGTCGCTCGTTCTCGAATACAAGTCTAGACTCTGATCATGCTCTAATACGAGCATGGATTTGCTCGCGCATCACTGGACGTAAAAAAACAACACTAAGAAGACCCATTGCAATTGAACTGAGGGACGAGAAAGCCAAAGGTAACTCTCAGGAACAACTGAGTTCACATTTAAACAGTTCTGGAAACGAGATTGACCCAGTTGCTGTTTGAAAATATAAGCGAGCAACTGTGGAAACAACAGTAACACCTAGTAATTTTAAGCAAAGGGTTACAAAAAACTAATTGATTTCTTCTAAGTCTATTGCACTGATGGATTTTCGTAAGCTCATCCCATCAGGCTCTGAACACGATGAAGAGCGAAAGCGAATCAGACCTAGGTTGACCAAAAGTCTACAGAACGATCGTGAGCAGTGGTGGGTAACGAAAGCAAAAGAGATGTAAAAGGCAGCGGCTATAGGTAACACCATACAACTCTTCAGACTAATAAAAGAAACTGGAATTAAAAAGTCAAGTGTAAGTGAGACAATTTCGGAAAAAGACGGAGCCCTTATCTTCTCTCAGCCCAGACGTTTAGAACGATGAGCGGAACACTTTTAGGAGCAATTCAGCTGGCCTTCAGCTACTGCACAACTACCGATTATTCCCATCGAAGTAGGTAACCCGACTGTAGCTGAAGTTCAAAAGGCTATAGCTAATCTGAAATGAGGAAGAGCATCTGGTCCAAATGGATTGGCTCCAGAGGTCTTTAAATATGGTGGTTCAATTTTAGCGATTAGGTTGACTAATATTTTGGCTAAAATCTGGTAGTTGGACGTAATCCCATCTGACTGGTCACAATCACTTATTATCCCAATATATAAGAAGGGACCAAAATCATCCTGTGATAACCATATAGTTGATTAGTTTAACTAATATAGCATCTAAAATACTAGTCTCAATAATTATCGGATGCCTAACTAAACTCGTGAACTGCAACCACTAAAAAATCAGTCTGGCTTCAGACCTGGTCGTGGCTGTTTATGGCGAACTGTCATCTGATTTTACAACCTCAAGTGGTATTAGGGAATGATGGTAAATCAGTTGATGAGGTTGTGAATCTTCATCGACTGAGATGGTTGGGCCACGTGTTACGTATGTCTGAACACCGATTACCACGACGCAATGCTAACTGGTGTTGGGGATGGTTGGAAGAGAGTTAGGGACGGCCAATCAAAACTTGGCATCAGTGCTTGAAGTCACTAACATTTAATCTGAGCTATGTTGGTAGATGCAGACTACTTGGTTGGGGTCTGTGTGACTATCGTAACCAATGGTTGGAGACTCTGTGTGACATGGGTCAGAATCGATCACAATGGCATAGGTGTGTACACTCTCTGTCTTCCCTTAAACTGTGAGATTAAAGTTAGTTTATATGTTTCTTTCTACGAACTAATTATTTCTTCCTGTATTATATCCTTATATTCAATCTTTCTTTTATATCTTACTACCATTGAAGTAACTGCTTCTATGAATTTGTTGTTCATCTTGTTATGTTAATGATGAGGTGTGGGAACTTGAACGGATGCATATATGTGTCTGGTCCTACGTTGTAGCTGACTGACTGTATTCAAAAATCCATTCTCGTATTTTGCTTACTTAATCTCGTTATTTACTAACGCGAGTTAGGTCGATGATTATACATGAGAATTGTCAGGATGGATATTTCGATAGAAATCATTCAATAATAATCAGTCATGCGATATTGCTGTAGTCAGATATCGGTCCACTAAAGTAGCTGTATTACATTCCATGTCATCAAGGCCTTTCAGTAGTTTTCATTACTTTCTTCGTAACAATGGTGATAAAACCAGTATTTAACGTTAGTATAAATTTTACAAATTTAATGGAAACAAGATCTTAATTTTTTATTCCAATTTATTGAAATATAAGTTGCTTTTGTAAATAAATCTCTATGAACATATAGGTTAACGGGTAATCAGTCTCCAGTTTGTAAGTAACTAAGGAAACATTCCCGATACTTTAACATATATATTATTGTGTTAATTTTTCTTGCTTCTATTTCATTTGCACTTAACTCTGTTAATTACCTATTTTTGTTTTATTGTTTAGATTCCTACTGCCCCAATCTATACTCCATCGATCATTAAACCTACTCCTAATTCTTCTGTATTTATTCCTAGAACTGTATCCCCACCTAACATCAATTATTTGTCAAATCCATTTTTACAAATGAATTATAATGTTTCATCACAGCTCAATTATAACACTCAAAATCGATATTTTTATGATCCTTTTCATCCCCAAATTAACATGCAAAGACCATACTGTACATCTTTCCCTTTTCCTTCATCGAATTTCAATATTAATCAATCAACAAAACAAACAAATTCAGCTAATTTTTCTGATAATCCATTTAATTCAAACAATTTAAAAATTCAACATTCCCAATGCATCAATAAAATTGATACCACTTTTAATAATTTAAACCATGAAACCAAATTAGACGTTCTAGATATGGTGTTCGATAACAACAGTAATAATAATATCTCATATCAAACACCGGCTACTAGTAGTCCAGTATTTTCAACTAAACAAAAAGTTCATCATTGTACTACTAGATTAGAAAATGAGTTACTTGTTAGATCATGTGAGTGTATTCGTATTTTCTGTCATCTCGCGAATACTTTTTTTCTATCATGAGAAAAAGTATCATTTTCTATTGGATTTCCGTAAAATCACGTAATATCCTTCTAAGCTTAAACAATTCTCTAACTTTCGAGTTTAATTATTCGTTAGATTTGTGTGTGATTAACGGAAATTCTTTTTATTTTCGTAATTCGTTCTTTTTTTGATCGGTTTCTTTCTATATATTTAAAAATACTTCAGATATACTCAACTTTTATCCATAGTACATATTATATATATATATATATATATATATCACTTGGCATACATGCAGGTATACATACCCTGTGAACAAATATACGTTACATGCACACCGGTAACACATAAAGTTTACGCCACGCATCCTACAGCATATACATAGGTATATTCACCCACCTGGGAGGGTAGATGTTCACCACTCACAAAGAAAATACATTTGCTACACCAGACTAACTCTTGTATATTATGTGCACATCATTCACACCATCGCTACCGCTCCATAAACATTCAGGTGAGGTTGTTGGTCGCCTCACCCTTGTATTTGCTACCACCTCCTCTTATTATGTCTTCGACCTGATTTTATTAGGCATCGGGCAGACATTTTTGCGGCTCAACGTTTCCTTCGTACGACACCTCATGCGTACCTTTTACAAATACCTATATACTTGAACTACATAGGTCCTAGAACTTTTGCAATTCTCATACATAAGCATACACATCGGGTAGTCTGAACGGTGAACCGAGCCCTGAGTATAGAACCCAGGATTGATCAAATACTACAGAGTTGGTAATCGGTCCGATCTCTGAGACTGCCTAAGTTGGCTAGCAGGATTGCTCCCACCATACAGCAGCGCCATGAGAAGGTCTTAGGTCGTAATTCGCTGTCATGTATATAAAAACTTGAATCATTAGTATTTATTACCTATTCTAATAATTTCGGGTTTTTGCTTGGCTTAAATTTATATATATTCATGTTAGCAGAATAACATGTACGGTAGATGTACAAAATTACAATAAGGATTAAGGAATTCTACTTTGAACTGTCGAATCATCATTGATGAAAGACTTATAAATAATGATAAAACACAGATGTAAATTAACATTTCAAGCATAAGGTGTGGTATATTTTTCTTTGGCACTCATATTAAATTTGATTCTGGCAAATAGAATAATAAAAAACGTGAATTATTTTAACAATTATATTAATTAAAATATTCCCATATTGTCATAAAAGAAACTCTTATTCCGAAAAGGAATATTTTTCAAAGAATCAAAAATTTTTTTTAGAATTTCATTAGTTCCTTTATGAAATTCCATTGAATAATTTTAAATTAACAATTAATTATTGAAGGAGAATATTTATAAACCATGAGGATTATATTATCAATAGAGTTAACAGAATAGCAGTGGGTATCGTTAAGTTGGGTTGAATATATGTAATTCATCATCTAAATATCGCGATAGAAGCAAGCTTTGTGATATACTAATAATACTTCAGTTTTTTACTGTTATTTGCGCCTGTTACCCCAAACGGAGCATAGGCCGCCGACCAGCATTCTCCAGCTCACTCTATCGTGGGCCTTCCTTTCTAGTTCTATCCAATTGTTGTTCATTCTTCTCATGTCTGTCTCCATTTGTCGGCGTAATGTGTTCTTTCGTCTTCCTCCTCTCCTTTGCTAGTGGGGATTCCATGTGAGGGCTTGCCTTGTGATGCAGTTGGGTGCTTTCCTCACTATGTGTCCTATGCACTTCCAGCTCTTCTTCCTGATCTCTTCTTCCGCTGGAATCTTATTGTTCTCATAGTAGGTTGTTGCTGATAGTGTTTGGCCAACGGATCTGAAGTATTTTGCGTAGACAACTGTTAGTAAACACTTGTATCTTCTGGATGATGGCTTTCGTAATTCTCCAGGTTTCCACCCCATACAGTAATAATGTCTCGACATTTGTATTGAAAATTCTGACTTTGGTGTTGGTTGACAGACAGTTGTTTTGAGTTCCGGATGTTCTTCAATTGTAGATATGCTGCTCTTGCTTTGCCGATCCTTGCCCTCACATCTGCATCTGATCCGCCGTGTTCATAAATGATGCTGCCCAGATATGTAAAGGTTTCCACATCCTCCAAAGCTTCTTCGTCAAATATGATTTGATTGGTGCATGTTGTGTTGTATCGGAGAGTCTTGGTTTTCCCTTTGTGTATGTTGAGACCTACTGCTACACTGGTCGTCTTCTCCAGCATTTGTTGTTGCTTGTGCGATAGAAGAGCCAGTTGATCTGCGAAGTCTAGATCATCCAGCTGCATCCTAGCTGTTCATTGTATCCTGTGCTTCCCCCCAGATATTGGCGTCTTCATAATTCAGTCGATCACCAGGAGGAAGAGAAAGGTTGAGAGTAAGCAACCTTGCCTGACACCTGTCTTTAACTCAAATGAGTCGGCGAGTTGTCCTCCATGCACGATTTTGCATTTTAATCCATCATAAGAATTCCGTACGATACTGACTACCTTCTCAGGCACGTCGTAGTGTCGAAGAAGCCTCCATAGTGTTGTCCTGTCCACACTATCAAATGCTTTCTCGTAGTCAGTGAAGTTGATGTAGATTGGTGAATTCCATTCAATTGATTGTTCCACAATGATCCGTAGTGTTGCGATTTGGTGTGTACACGATCGACCCTTACGAAATCCAGCTTGTTGATCTCGAAGTTGGGCGTCTACAGAGTCCTTCATTCTGTTTAACAATACCCTGTTGAAGACTTTTCCTGGTATTGAGAAAAGAGTGATGTCTCTGTGGTTGTAGCACTTGCTGATATCGCCTTTCTTTGGTATCTTGATCGGAAGTCCTTCTTTTCAGTCTGTTGGTACTTGTTCTTCATTCCAAATCTTACTGAAGAGTGTGGAGTACCTCTGCAGTTGCTGCTACATCTGCTTTCAGTGCCTCTGCCGGGATGTTGTCTGGTCCCGCTGCTTTGCCGCTCTTGATTTCTCTGATAGCCTTGCTGATCTCTTTAATTGTTGATGGGCCAACAACGATTGGGAGGTCTGTGGGTGCTGCTTCAACGCTGGGTGGATTCAGTGTAGCTGGTCGATTCAAGAGTTCTTTGAAGTGTTCTTCCCACCTGTTCCGTTGTTCTTCAATGTACGTGGTTACCTTTTCTTCCTTGCTTTTCACTGGTCGTTCTGGTTTGCGATAATTTCCAGCGAGTTCCTTTGTTGTGTCATACAATTGTCTCACGTTTCCTTCTCTTGCAGCCTTTTCCGCTGTCGTTGCTAAATCTTCCACATATCTACGTTTGTCGGTTCTGATGCTCCTCTTCACTTGCTTGTTTGCTTCTGTGTATTCGGCTTGTGCCTTGGCTTTTTCTGCTCTTGTTCGGCTGATATTGATTGCCGCCTTCTTGTTCCTCTCTAGAATCTTATCCAGTGTATCAACAGTGATACATTCCTTGTGATGGTGCTTCTTGTGGCCCAGAACCTCATGACGTATTGAAGTGATTGCCTCCTGGATACCTTTACAGTAGTTCCCTCTCCATTGAATCGATCGTGAAAGGTCGTATTGAAGTTTTGTGATGTTTTCCGCCCCGTTGTTCAGTGCTTTCATCTTGGCGACCAGCCAGTGATGATCTGAGGTTATATCAGTTTTCTCTTGGTTCTCACATCCTCTATCGTCCTTCTGAACTTTTTGTTGATGCCGATATGGTCAATTTGGTTCTGTATAGTACGATCCAGTGAACTCTATATGGCTTTATGTATGTGTTTATGTGGGAATATGATGCCGCCTATGACCAGTTTGTTTGCGAATCTCTCACCATTTTCGTCCCTTCCTCCTAGTTCATGTCGTCTCATGATGCCTTCGTATCCGGTGTCGTCCATTCCAACCTTGGCCTTTAGGTCTCCCATCAGAATGGTCAGGTCCTTTGTTAGACATTTCTCGACGATTGAATGTAGCATACCATATAATTAATCTTTAGCGTCTTCATCGTAGTCGTTGGTAGGCGCATAGTATTGATAACATTCATTCTAATGTCCTCTTTCTTTGTTTTGAAGGATGCTTTGATGATTCTGGGTCCATGAGATTCCCATCCAATAAGTGCATTTTGTGCTTTTCTGGACAGCATCAATGCAACTCCTTGTGTATGTGGGGCATTTTTTTCTTCATGACCGGAGTATAACAGAAGTTCCCCTGAAGATAGTCGTTGTTGTCCAACCTGCGTCCAATGCGTTTCACTGATTCCAAGCACCTTCAGGTTATATTTCCTCATTTCTGCAGCAATTTGGAAGACTCTTCCGGTCTCCCACATTGTACGGACGTTCCATGTACCTATAAAAATTGCCACTCTGGTTGTCAGAAGGGGCATCAGCCTCGTGACTTCTGTTATAACGCGAAATATAGCGTATTGCGATAGGACTACGCGAAATTCTACCGATTGACCAAATTCAGATATCCTAGTTCGACCCCAATACTGTTTCCCAACTCCAATAAATCAGAACACAGCCGTTAAATGAGAATTGTTATGGGGTCAGCAGCAGAACAACAATGGTTTACAGACAAGGCATATTTATACAGTTACGATGACTATTAACAGTACCCAATGGAAAGAAAGGACACGTAAAGGTTATAATTAGGACGACTCAAAATTGACCAATAGGGAAACGACACATGAAAGTCATAGTTAGGACACTGTAAATAATGGCCAATAGGAAATAACATGCGAATTATGTGAAGAGTCTGAAAACATACCATTTTACATTCGAGATAATTTTTGGGATATTCTTGTGAATATCCTAACAACTTCAAAAGAAACCTAGCTTTCACCATGAAGCATTATTACGGGACAGAGTTTAAATGGTTTGAGTAATTTTTTCTGGTTAGCGTTTTTTTTAACGAGTTGGTTTTCTACGGGATGGGGTCGCTGACCTAATGCCCAATCCTCCTCTATCCGGGCTTGGGACCGGCAGTAGCCCCCGGAGGAGCTACAGGCGGAGTTAATGTGTTATATTACAAACAACTATCGTTTCAGAAACTCAATAGAGTCTCAGTATTATGAACTATTGGGTTTGAAGGTAAATTCTAAATGCAATAACCGATTTTTACTGTTTATTAATTTATCAACTATTATGAAATAATCGTTAATATCCACTTTTTGTATTCGTAATTATGCTAATTAAATATTATTTAAAAATATGTTTTTCATATGCAAGTGTAACCAGTTTACTTAACATTCAATAATTAGTTTCCTTTTTTTCATTTTTAGTTACTGTTATTGTTCTTTTCGTGTCTTCTTAGGTCCTCTTACTAACTCATCAGAAACAATGAAATCAAATCCTAGCTCTTTTAATCCAACAAATGATAAATTCATTAGTTCTGTTACGGTAAGCTTAATATATTGTTAAATAATTTTGTTGATTACTGTTGTAAGAAAATTTAATAATTTGACAGCATATGTATATTTAAACTTTACATTATGGTTGTTAGTAAATGATTACACTGTTTTGGGTTATCCATTCGATGTACAGTGGTAGCTATTTTTGATTGGAAAAAAGCCAATAGCAGCCAAACTAATAGGAGTTATCTGTCTATGAACTAATCGACTTTTGAACTGAGTCATGTTGGCAGGTTCAGATTACCTGATTGTGGTCCGTGTGATTATCATAATCAATAGTTAGAAGAGACGTTGCGTAATCATACGATAATTTACATTTCTATCTTTAATCGACTCGTAATATTGAGCAACCATCATTCATTCCCATTAGTGTGATAGCTATCAGTTCGTTATGTAAACTATAAATATCTTTACTTCTAGGCTATGTATCATTTTGCTACTGTTTTATTTCCATCTCTGTATTTACTTATATTTCATTCTGTTGTACCTATATACTTGTATTTATTTTGTTTAACTAAAATTCCAAAATCAGATTTGTTAAATGTCTTTAGTCGCGTAAGTTATCTGCTGTTTATTGACATACATATACAACTATAATTAATGATTATATAATCATATTTTTTGTGCTTTTAACTGGTGTTCTTATTTTTACTTACCCCCCCCCATAAGTATTTCTCGATTATTTATTAAGAAAAATAATAATCACTTAATTCTATATTAATAAATAGCTAACTATCCAATAATTATTGTAGTTTCTTAGTTAACTTTACTATTTTAGTTTGTGTAAATACTGTTTATTAATTCTGCTTTGATTTTTATCTCTTATCAAGTTTATGAAATGATTCACTTTGCTTTTTTGTGTCATCAGTTCTTTATTTTTTGTTATATCGGAATGAAGATTAAAGGGACGGTAAATTTCAGGACTAATTTATGAACTATCATTATCTATATATAATTATTCAGTAAATAGATTACCATATATTCGTATCCCTTTTATTATAAGCTTTCACTATATGATTTACTATTCTTAATCCGTTGCCAGTTTATTATTTACAGTCTCCCGTGCTCACAGCCACTTTGTTAGCTTGATCGTATGTAATTGTTAATATTCATTTTATGGTATGATATACCTGTGTATAAATTATGAATTTACGAAATATAATAGTTGTAAAGTGAAGACTGACTACTGTGTTTAGGACTCAATGACCAGGGTAGGGAGAAAAGCTACTGAATAGAGGATTGATAAGAGCCTAGAGTCGGAATTTTTCAACAGTTTTTATCACATGCTATTAGACAGTAGCCACAAGTCAACTATTTTCATTTTTATTCAAGATACATTTATTTAAAAAGGTTTTGAATTGTATTGGTATTGTAATTTTTACGTGAATTTTTTAAGTTCGTGTCATACTCAACTTTTAATAAAGTGAAAATTCCCATTTCGACATTTGTTAATTAAGAAAGAAACGAATCGAGCGAAGAAATTTCTTTTCAATTAGTTTTTCATCATGGCTCTACACTAATATATATATGATTTACAATAATTAAATAACACTCATGCAGTAGATACGTTACGTAATGATTATATAATGACATCGATTATAAACTAACATTAATTGGAAGAGAAGGATTAATACTAATCAAAGTAGTTATTCGAAAATTAAGCTGTTGCTACGTTGCATAATATATAAAAATGAGAAGAAAGAACTAACAAAATATTTTGATGAATGGTCAGTAATATAGTAGTTATGTAAGAATCAAGAGACGAATGAAGAGAATAAGTAAAATACAAAAAATGGAAGGAATAAGATAATTGTTTACCGAAATTATGCTACAAACTCCGCTATACCGATGGCCAAGGTAGCGAGAGTGGTTGTACAAACTTCTTTTGGATACAAAGGTTCGGTTTGTGGATATGAATTGCGATGGCTTCAGCTATGTGCAATAGACGAGCTCGTAAACCATGTGGCAAATTAGATGGAATATGGTAGATAACCTTAAAAGCTTTATTCAGTTCAACCTGATGACCTGTGTCCACCAAGTGAGCGAGAATAGAACTCTTAATCCCCTTTACCTGTCCTTTATTCAACCATGACGGATGGTGTTCTGTTATTCGTTGACGAACTTGCCGAATTGTACGCCCTATATAACTGGCTGCACAGGAGCAGTTGAATTGATAAATACACATAGATGTGGCGAATTCAGGCAATCTGTCTTTATTAACAGTTCTTATTGTGGGGCGGTTGTAGAAGACGGTACTAAGTCGGGCTGCATTAAATGTTTTCTGTACTGTCCTTCTTAACCTCTGTGTCAAGATTGCTTTAGTAGCATCATTTAAGAATTGTAACTTTAGGAACAGTACCTTCTTCGGAACAGTAGGTACCTTTGTCCTTCTTTTCGTCTCCGTCATGTGTTTGTCGATGAATTTCATTGGATACCCATTCTTACTAAGCAAGTTTCGAATATTAGCCAATTCATCTAAAATAATGTCGTCAGAGCAAATCATTCTAGCACGATGAGTTAGGATCTTTATTAGGTTTCTTTTTTTTGTATTTCATTGGTACTGCGCTATAGAAATGAGTGTTCTGTCCAACTGTATTTTTTCTATGTATTCCTCTTTTTATGTTCCGTCTATTCTTCTGGTTAGTTGGACATCTAAAAACGATATACTACCATTCTGTTCTTCTTCTAGTGTAAACGTAATTGATGGGTAGATATTATTAAATATATTAAGAATGTTCTCCTTTTCATGTTCTTTTTCTAATACTATGAAGGTATCATCTATATAGCGACAATATGATGTTAGATGGCTAATTGTGTCTTTAAGTGGACCATTTTCTAGTTTTGCCAGAAAAATGTCTGCCAGTATAGGGCCCAATGGTGACCCCATGGCTACCCCATCCAATTGTCTATAATACTCATTGTCAAATCGGAATTGAACTTTCATTGTGCATCTAAGAATTAGTTGTTTTATTGCGGATACGGGAATTACCGTTTCTAAGTTCCTCTCTTTTAATTCATTGCAAATAAAATCTACCGTTTCAAGTAGAGGAATGTTGGTGAATAGGGACGTTACATCTAATGATACCATAAATTTATTCTTGAGCGATAGATTTTTTATATTATTGACAAATTCAAAGGCATCCTTGACACAATATCCTTGTGGAGCGGTTTGAGAATTTGCACCAACCATTTTGCTATAGTGTGGTGGGCTGAGTTATTCATATCTAAAACGGGTCGAAGGGGCAAGTCACTTTTATGTATTTTTGGCAAGCCATATAACCTGGGTGTACTCGTTCCTGTAGGTTTTAACATTTCGAACACTTTTTCTGAGATAAAACCCTGTTGCTTGATTTGTTTCAACGAATCTATTATTTGCTTTTCAATCTTGTCTGCCAAGTCATTCTTCACTACTAGTTGAAGCCATCGCAATTCATATCCACAAACCGAACCTTTGTATCCAAAAGGAGTTTGTACAACCACTCTCGCTACCTTGGCCATCGGTATAGCGGAGTTTGTAGCATAATTTCGGTAAACAATTATCTTATTCCTTCCATTTTTTGTATTTTACTTATTCTCTTCATTCGTCTCTTGATTCTTACATAACTACTATATTACTGACCATTCATCAAAATATTTTGTTAGTTCTTTCTTCTCATTTTTATATATTATGCAACGTAGCAACAGCTTAATTTTCGAATAACTACTTTGATTAGTATTAATCCTTCTCTTCCAATTAATGTTAGTTTATAATCGATGTCATTATATAATCATTACGTAACGTATCTACTGCATGAGTGTTATTTAATTATTGTAAATCATATATATATTAGTGTAGAGCCATGATGAAAAACTAATTGAAAAGAAATTTCTTCGCTCGATACTCAACTTTGTTCATCATAAAAGAAACAGTCGAATGTTAGTCTCATCATGTGTATATTATTACATAACTAAATATCAACGTCTTAATATTGTATTCAAAATTACTTGTTATACTTAACTAACGTTGAACAGTTATATCAACTGTAAGCAAAGATGGATAGTGGCTAGCAGTGGAATCCAGGACGCGCGTTTCGTCCTATTCGAGACTCGTCAGACGGATGTACCTCAATCTCAGAGTTAATGTTCACTCTGGGACCCATTGTATAAGAAAGTGGCTATCAGGACTCAGTAACTGAACGGATAACGCGATGGCGTTTGAAGCGAAAGGTACTGGGTTCGAGTCTCGGAATGAGCATCAACTCTAAAATGCAGGTACATCCAGCTGATGAGTCACAAATAGGACGAAACACGCATCCTGGATTCCACTGCTAGCCACTATCCATCTTTGCTTACAATGCTTTTGAATTTAGGCTATATCGAGGCAATACGCACAGTATGTACATATGCCAATAGGAGAATAACCAGTAGCAGTCCTAACACATTGATGGGAAGATTCAAACAAACAATACTAAATGAATATATATAACATAATTTACCAAACTGGTTCTTGTTCTCATTTCTAGTGTGAGCGAAATTGCCTAACTTTTTTTTCTTATGTTGTGTATAACGTTGGTGGAAAAATTGATGTGGTTTCTTTTTAATTTATATCATCAAAATATATTTAATGTCACTTGCTTTCAGTTTTCAAACGAAAACTATCACATTGAACTGCCTGTATTGTTTACTATCTTTTGTTTTCATTTCATAACAATCATTTATAATCTACACTTATTACAGTAAGAGTTAGATTTTAGACTGGGTGAGTATTGTTGAAACTGTCGAATATACATTGCACTTTTATTCTTGTGTTTTTTATTCGTTACCGTTTTCGATCCAGATCACTATTTCTTTATCTAAGTATGATTTAATTTTTTGATTTCTACTAATATATAAAAATCTTATGTTTGTATAATATTGATTTGATTGGAATATCTTACTTTTTCACCAATTTGTTGTTTATGTACATGTGTGATAAGTAATTGCTTGATTTTTTGTGCTTCAACTCTTAAACACTGGCTTTCTAGAGGTGTTCTAGTTCACAAAATTTTCCTACTTTTAAACCTCAAACGAATAACAGGCGGAAAACATAAAACTAGCCTTACTTCATATGTCCCAATATGTACAAAAAAACTGAAGCATTTATAAGATCCCGAGTAATCTTGATATTTTAGGCAAAGTTGTTATAATCCTTGACATATTCAGTAATCTTCCGATCAGTATCAAGAAAAACATTACTACTCATTCCCTAGATTCCTTATGTAAGCTTCCAAAATGCCCTTATTGGTCAAATTTTTATCTGAATTTTCCATGACTTTTTAAACCCTATTCAATCAGAAATGTATGTATGTTTTAACCACTTTATTGATTGTTTGAATTCTTGATAGATGGGACACTAATTAATTAGTGTAACAAGACATTATGATATGTCGTTTAAGTCATAACTGTTTATGAAAATCTACTTAGTATGTTTCTTCATAGTTCACAAATTAAAACGCTATGAAAATTAATAAACATTCGTGTTGTTAATTATTTACTTATGCATCGAAGTAATTAGTAACTAAATAATAAATATATAAGTGAATCAATATGTGAACCATTGAACATCTAAATAGAATTAAGGATTTCGAAAATGAGTCAAATTTGTGCTCACTATTATACACTTTTTGACGGACCATAGGACGTAACACACTCAGCATTGAAAATAATTAGTTACATCTAACCCCGGTCATTCGCTTATGATTCGGTGACTTTTTCTACTATTTTCTAAATTTATTTAAAATTAGTATAACGTATTACTTTTTCGTGGCAAAATTTAAACTTATTTATCTGTAAGTCATAGCACATATCAGTACAGTGTAGTAAAATAAAAATAGACAGGGAAAAAGGAGTAGTGTAAGTGTGAATAACGGTGAATTATGATCGAATTATGAAATATTAACAAAGATTATAATCTTTTCAAACTTATTATAATTGCTGCTACAAAATGCATCCTTCTTATTAGCATTGTGCGTTACTACTGGTCTTGTAGATTATTATAGAGATAACTATTCATTAAAAACAAAATGTGAGTTAGAATTTACATATAGATTATTATCTCTATTTATCAATGATTAATACATGTTCGAGAAATCAAGTTACTTGAAGATTATGCTCATTTTCAGAATGTTATTATTGTAAGATTATCATACTATTTGATTTGTTTTTCTTGTTTTATTTCTGTCTAGGTTTCTGTCCCAGAAAACAATATAACTCCAGGTACATATATTTATGGTTTGCTAATTAGTATAAACTTTTGATATGTATCCATCATATTTTTCATATATAATACCACCTTTTGGATTATTTACTTATTGTAATTTGGTTCTAATTTTTCTTAATTTTGATTGACTTAGATATTTGGCAGTTTAAAGAGATCCCCATAGAATATTCAAAAATGAAAAATATTTGAGAGAACAATTGTTTTTTCAATAACTTCATCATCAGGCTCTACAGTTATAAATCCCCATAATTATTGTGATATTTTACAAAGGTTAAAATGAGGCATGTATTAATGAATTTGACAATGATATATGTTGAAAATGGTGAACGTTTGCATCTGTTACGACATATATACTTCAAAATTGTGTAATTTGTAAATTAGAAAGGTCATTTAATAAAGGTCAAAATGATTTGCAGTTAAGTGTCAAGTCATATTCAGTATAATAGTAATATAGGAAAAATGGAAATGCAAAAAATAATGTGAATAAAATGCATAGTAGGAAAATTTCATTTTACGTCAGAAGGGGTTTTTGTGGATATTTCATTATTTCCATAGTTGAAATCATGAGTCAATTGAAGCTAAACCACCATGAAAAATCTGGAAGCACTGGACGGCCGTATCGTCCTATTATGGGACTCCTCAACAGTACGCATCCACGATACCGCCTCGCGAGATTCGAACCCAGGACCTACCAGCTTCGCGCCAGAGCACTTAACTGATAGACCACTGGGACGGCATCCAACGGTGTTAATGTGTTAATTAATGCATGCCTCATTTCGGCCTTTGTAAAATATCATAATCATGGACTAGATATTTGTTTTGAATATCAATTAAAAAGTGGAATGACTTGAGATTCATAGTTGAAATAGTGATATTTACACTGATTACTAACAGAATAACAGGAAAACCCATACCTCTCAACTTTTTGTAGTTGTTTTTTTCACAATCTATGCTCTATCAACTTACAGATTTTATTATTACTCAAGTTTAATGGTCATCATCGAAAAATATGATATCGATCTTATGTTTCATCTAAATTCAACCAAATTTTTGCTATCATCTCAGTCAATCTTTCTATGGTTTCCATATCGTACAGTTTTTTATATCTTAAATGCACAATAATATTCGGATCGGTGAGACTATAATTTATGGATGACTCTAAAGTGACACTGAGAATGTCCACATACTAATTAAGACTAAATGAGAGTTATAAATCAATGCGAAGAATTAGAATATGAATTACAGTTGATGGTTAGGGTTAGGAGCTGATGTCACGAACTGACATCAGCTAAAATGCCAAAACACTATTTAGCCAAAGATTAGGTTTATTTATACATATCTGTATAGCTTCTATTGTATCTTGTGGATAAATAAAACTGAAAATCACACGATGTCAATAAGAATACTGAAGAATAGAGTTTTAATAACTTACATCCAAACAGATTTCATTTCTTACAAAAAGCACTGCTTTCCGCTTATAGAAAACTCAAAAAAAGACTACAACAAAATCTTCAAAGATTTCTATACAAGTTCATTTCTGATAACATATCAAACTACTGGACTACATTCAAAGAGTTATCCTTAACTAACAGATCATAATCCAAAAGAACTATCCCATATTCCATTAAGACTTATCATAAAAATTTCTGTAATAAATTAATACAATGCAAATCCTTACACTTTCATGAAAACTATTAATTGTTTGTCGATACTTATTGCTCTAAACATATTCCATGTCATGGTCTCTTGATACGGTATCATTATAAAGATTATAGTTTATTTCTCAGTTATTTCATTAATCTTTATAAGAAAATCTGGGTAGTTTAATCTACATTGTACTCTCTTTTGTTCAATATAACTTGGTCAATTGTTTTCTTATACGCTTTTCTTTTTTTAAAAAAAGAAGAAAGACCTCAACATCAAGTAAATGAAAATCAACATGATCTTTTTAATTCTTCAGATAATTTTAATGATGAGGTAAGTTCCAAAAAATTTTTTTTCTTGGAACATTTATTTGCATATTAATTAATTGATTTTAAAACTTCTTACTCTTATTGATTGTATATTTACTATCTGTTAGTGTAATCTTATTATTAAAATAGTCCGTTAGTTTCTTTTTGGTGTATATATGTGCGTGTGTGTAATTATGAATATATTCATAGTTGAAATCACGAGTCAATTGAAGCTAGACCAATATGGAAAACCTGGAAGCACTGGATGGCCATTTCGTCCTATTATGGGACTCCTCAACAGTACGCATCCACGATCCCGCACTCGTAAGATTCGAACCCAGGACCTACCAGTCTTGCGCCGGAGCACTTAACCGATAGACCACTGAGCTGGCCGGCATCCAATGGTGTTAATGTCTAACTTCAACCAATCCACGATGTTTGAGCAACCGTTCACCAATTGTCTTCAGTGAGTTGATATCTCTACAACAGACTTGGTTGAACTCCACTCATGATTTCAACTATGAAAATACTAAATTCTCCACAAAACCTCTTCTGATCTATAATTATGAATATACTTGAGATGATTAAAACATCATCTACTATTATCAAATTATTCTTTTTGAATATTCTCTGGTAACAAGAATTACTATCAAAAGGGGTTTTCTGAAGATTTAGTATTTTCATAGTTGAAAGCATCAGTCAATTGAAGCTAGACCACAATAGGACGAAACGGCCGTCCAGTGCTTCCAAGTTTTCTCTGGTGGTCTAGCTTCAATTAACTCATGATTTCAACTATGAAAAAAGAATTACTTCAATTCCATCATTTATTACTTCTTAATGTTCTATGTTCATTTTGACTGAAATTTTTTTTTCTAATCAGAATAATATGGTGTGAATATTTGTTGTTTATATAATCTAAAATAAAAACTAAAATTATTTTGTTTTAATAAAAAAAGCTTTATTATTTTTATACCTTATTCTCAGAAATTTCTTCAAGGTATCATCTATGATAAAGTTCAAAAAAAATTTTCTTTTCATATTAGTGATTTATGTCTTACGGTCATATTAGTGATTTTGATTATTTTAAAGGAATGGTAGTATAATTTTATCTTGTCTAAGGTATTTGTTTACTTAACTTTCAATATATTATTAGAGTTTTTGCTACATAAGAATTTTTGGTTCGTTTATATCTCATTTAGTGTTTTTTTTATTATATCTAAACTAACATCAAACGTGAAGGTAGTAACGTCGTAAGTCGGTGAATAAACTATCACGGGCTGACTCATTTGCTTTCATACTAAATGTTATTCTTGTTCCTTGATATTCGATAAAGAATAATATGTAAAACACTGATATTTATTGATCCGCTAAAACCCTAACAACATTTACATTCATTGTGATAATTACTTGACTGTAGTGTAATACAACACTTGTATTCTGCTTTCTGGTTCTTGGTTGCTCGGATAATTTGTTTATTTATTTATGTAAATACTGTTATGCCCCTATAAGGATAATGAATAGTAACTTTGAGATCCATTTGTGAACCAATACTATGCACATATTTCTATCGTATAATTGCTAAATAACTAAACTATTCATATTCATGCTCCTCTTATTATAAGCTTTATTTTTACCTATAGATTATTATTATACGATTTACCATTCTTGCGTTATCCCCAGTCTATTAATTCCTGCCTCCCACGTTCACAGCCACATGTGGCTAAATCTTGTACAAATGTTGTTTTCTATTATATCGATACGATGTGGTCAGTCTGTTTGGTATATAAACTCAGTATGTTTGCAATATAATGATTCATACCGCAGGGGCTGTTTTGCGCTAAGTAGAAAGCAGGACCGATAATTACTCTAGACTGCTCATCCGGGTTTCTGTGTATCACTGGTCCGATCGATAAATCACTGTTCTGTAATTGGTGGTATCGTCACGTTATACATTAACATGACATCCACTCGGTCGCAAGTTATAACAAACACGAACGTTGGTACTAGGATACACCAAATATATGTGCGCGGCACTTCGTCATTCGATTTGTGTGAGGGCTGGAATACTCGGATAAGTGTAAAACCTCGTTCTTTCCTTCATTTTCGGAAATTATGGAATTCTTCCTGAAGTTCGACTACTTTTATTCCTTCAAAAATAATTGAATTGAGTTATATGAACTATTGATATGCATAAAGCACTTTTACGCCTAATAAAATGATGTTTATTTACATCTTATTCTTGTTAGTTATTACGAATTTGTGCTCATGTGGTGGTACTCTTTTGATTTCAGATTTCACTTGTTCGTTCTCATGTTCCTGGATGCACTTTATCTGAAGCTCATTGGGCGTTATTACATGTAATGAATCCATTTTCTCCAGTCATATCTCAATTAATTGTACCTCCAATTCCATGCACTGCACCTATGGAAACTTGGCGGACCAAACTAGACAGAACTAGTGCTTGGCGTGTACAATTAGCCATTCGCCTTTTATCTGTTTGTCGTCTTTATCAATTAGGCCTGATCAATTGGGATTCATGTTGTCAAATTATTAGTTCATTCAATTGGCAATTGGAACCTGCAGCCGATTGGATTCTTGATCATATGACACCTAACTGTTTTATTTAATTGGTTACTAGAGTTGTTGTTATTGTTATTAATATTAATTTTAATTATTGACCTTTCCAAAAACAATTATCTTGTTGACTTTTAATTTAAAACCCTCTTTATCAGTTATTTTATTGTTAGATTTTGTTCATCTTGATTTGGTAAAGTGTATCTTACTCATTTGTACTTTATTACGTGCTAATTTTTTTGTTGAAAATTATTGAATTGGTCATAGAATCCACCTTATCACCCATTTCTAATGATTTTGTTGCTTTATAACATAAACTACTTAATTGTCTGGCTAATAGTATATAATTGTTTTGTCAATATTTTTTATTCATTATTGGGTTGTGTGAAATGATTGTGCGGCATATCGTTTAATTCTGCTAAGATCATTTTGATTTGAATAATTTTTAAGGTTGATAAAATGTTATTGTTCAGGGAAAATTCAAAGATTATTATCTTATCGAATTGGTTGGATTTATCTTCTTTCACAAATGGTCGGTATATGTGTTTACATAGTGCCTCAATTTGCAAAACAGAATAAAGAAAACAGATGGAATCTGAGCTCTATGTTACATATAATTGTGATAAATATGTGTGGTTACTGGCTTTTGTTAATACGTAACTTGTTTCCACTTCTTATTTGTTATTACAAACCTGTTTGTGAGTTTTTCATGATGTATCTTATATCATGGCAACATGTTAAACCATATCGTTAATTATCAAACTGTTGTTCTTATTGTTGCTACTGTCTAATCCTTATGGACTTGTTTTTTACGTACACAAGTACCAATCCTTTATTATCTTCATTTAAATATACCCCTGACTGTCGTGTGTAATTCTAGTCATTTCGTGTGTGTGTGTGATTGCATTGAACAGTTGTATAACTGTCAATTCATTTGATTTTTCTGGCAAGCATTTTAAAAAAATATATTGAAAATATAAATCATCAGTCACTTTCTTTTTGTATTACTACATTTGTTCCATATTTTGGGCTTGAATATTTACCTTTGAAAACCTTGACCATAAGCAAGCTATACAAGAAAGTAGGCGTAGTTTTAATCAACAGATGAAATTACATTGGTTAAAATGATTTCTATACGTAGTGATCTCACGAATTTTTGAAGAAACAATGACAAGAAAGATACCAGTTCATAAGCAGGGAGACAGTTAACCTATTTTCTTAGAGAATCTAAACATTACATTTGTAATTTTCTTGAGCATACTGTGTCGAAAGCACTATTCTATAGACATTCGAAATTCATATGTTGTAATATCTCCATCTGGTTTTAGGTATGTTGAATTCTCCATACCACGTAATTGCAGAGCTACTAGTTATTGCCATAGGACTGCACAATTGAGTTGTATATTATATATATATACACTGGGTGGGAAATCTAGTGTAGATATTCGTCTAAGGTAAATTAGCGTCCCACATACGTGTAAAAAGTCGAAGGACTGTTATAACAAGAAACCCTAGAGTTATAACAAGTATCCTACCGTTTATAACAATAATTAAACTGCCTTTGTCGTAGCCCATTTGAGACTGGGAAATGATTTCTCTCCTTATATATATATATATATATATATATATATATATATATATATATATATATATATATATATATATATATATATATATATATATATATATATATATATATGGTGTAAACAATGCATACAGAGTTCGAAGGATGGTTGTTAGTGTTATGAAGGACAACATAAATCACTTAATAAAAACATTGCTAGGAATATGATCCACATAGTTGATTTTTCTAAATCTCTATTTGTAAAATAAGTCCTTATCATTTAAAGTTCTATGTACGCTTTATATTTTACCTGTCTTATATGAAACGTATCGTACATGATATTGGTTTGTGATATCAGAATCCAATTTAACCAAACTACTTGTATTTGAATCAATAAATTTACTGACACATATTCAACACTTATTAGCTTATGAAAGAATCCATTCATAATTAGGATTGAAAGTTATTACCCTTCTGGTTCATACGAAGAGTAGCATAGTAGGACAGAGAAAGCATAGTTTAGTCTTATATCAAAATTTCTCCCCCTATGTGAATTACAATTTTAAATAAATACTTCATAAATTTTCAAATATATGCTTAAATAGGGATAGTATATTTGTAAAATCTAAGTTGAATGAATTTGAAGTAAATCCAACGTTTCGCCTGGCAATCTGGTCCGGACGAAACGTTGGATTTACTTCAAATTCATTCGCTGAGATTTTACAAATATATTATTCCTATTTAATGTCCTACATCAACTCGGTGCCCAAATACGGTGAAACTATTCGCTCTAATTTAGACGAAAGTTCTTATAAACATATATGCTTTCCTACATTTTGTTGGATATGAACAAGTATGAAATAACATTATAGAATTTCTTACTTTCGGACTGACTGACCTCTCGTTATAATGCTTCCAACTAATTTACCAGAAATCAATGGATTATGATTCATTAATTTCGGTTTAATCCTGCCCTACTATGGTTGCATACTGCTCAAGAATATCAAATTGTAAAGAAGCAGTCTTTTTTTTGTAATTTATGTTTATATACGAATGTATTAATAGGGATTACTTGTAACCCTGACTTTGTCGTAGTTCTGAAGCTAGATTATTCTATTCTGAAAGGATAGTTATTATTTCCTTGGTGAAGCTATTACCAGATTTATACGTGAACGTTTACTTTAGATATTCTATCACCCAACCAATAAGATATAATTTGAGCCAACAAGCGCATTTCCATGTAGGTTTTTAATTGGATTTTCATTTGTGAGAACTACTGTGATCAGATAAGTTGCAGCTAACTGGTGGATGGACAAAGTATGGTAGGATATGCTTCTAAAAGCAAGAATCTGAACTTTCCAAGACAATTGATGTGTGGCGAGAATGAGGATGATTAGTTGTTTTGCTGAGTCAGACATTAGATAGGATGACAGGTGTTATATATATATATATATATATATATATATATATATATATATATATATATATATATATATATATATATATATATATTCCCCTATCCTTATTATGTATTGGCCGTTATTGATTGACTGTTCCTTGTCGTTGGATTGTGTCGGATTTTAGTGTGGAAATATATTGACGTCGTAGTCAGGCTAATCTCGTGTTCTTGATCTGAGTTGTCTTGAAGTCCTGTAGAATAGACACTGGGTGGGAAATCTAGTGTAGATATTCGTCTAAGGTAAATTAGCGTCCCACATACGTGTAAAAAGTCGAAGGACTGTTATAACAAGAAACCCTAGAGTTATAACAAGTATCCTACCGTTTATAACAATAATTAAACTGCCTTTGTCGTAGCCCATTTGAGACTGGGAAATGATTTCTCTCCTTACAAACGGAATATCTGGTACTGCCACATATCAGCACCATTCTTCAACAAGAAAGCTTTTACTGTCTCTTGAAGACCTCAAAAGTTGAACCAGCTAAAATGATTCCATATCAAGTTGATGTCCTTGGAAAGCATACTACAGAGTCACAAATGAAGACAGAGTCAGTCAGTGAATAACTAAATCCATCTCAGTATTTGTGGATTTCCGGTCATTGCAGACTCGCCTAAACATTAGAACTATAATTACTAAACAAAAAGGAGCATGCTTTCAAGTCTTCCTAGCAAAAATCTGGATCAATTTGAATTTTGATGGTTTCATTAATATTGATTTCAGCGGAATTCGTAGATTTTACTATACCAATTATTGCAATTTCAGTGCATTGTTATTTTTCCCGATTGGTTTTAAAAAATTACATTATATTTTAAATAGAATAGTTTTCTTTATAGATTATTTTAATTTGTATATGATATTCCTTATTTATTGATCTCAGCTTGGATACCATTGATCATCGCATTATATCTCAAATCGACTAAAGTTGAACATCTTTACCTTTGGATTCCAACCTAGCAGTTAAGTGTTCGCCGAGACACTGACCTGAAACTTCTAGAATTAACCCCTAAGTAGACGAGGAAAATTGGATTTTATACGCTTTATTGACCAGTAAATAAACAAGCAGTTCAAATCAAGAGCCTGAGTCTACAAGTGATGGAATTCAGACATTTTTGAAAACTCTACATGCCTTGTGGGTTTTTATACGGAATAAAAATTACTTTACTTTATCTTACAGTAGACTATTTTCTCTATAAAGACCTTTTTGTTTAATTGAATATCAGTTTATGTTTGGGTTACACATTAAATCATAAATATTCTTATGAATGATTCCTACTAGGTTTATGACAGTGGATTTCATACGACAAAAAGTAGTGGGATCCTACTGGTAATACACCGATGAGCAACAGATTTTATTGTTGCAAGTATAACTATATATTTCACTGAGTAGTGAAATATCAGTTGACAGACCCTGATCTGGGACTAAAAAGAATTAATATTCATAAAAAATAACACTATATATTTACTTATTGTTTGAGTTATTTGTTTATTTAGATCACTTTACAAGCTTTATACCAAAATAGAGTTACAACATTTATTTAAACGTACTTCCTAGCTAACTCACCATTTGGACACTCCTTGTAATTTTCATGACATGTTGTTCTTATGATTACAGAATGAACTTTGTCTTATCTACCCAACTCGACTGAAGCCATAAATAAGGGTCCTTTCTACATTCATTTTCTTAAGGCAAAAACTAGCTTGTGTTGTGAGATGTGTGCAGTGTGGTTATTGTTTATTCGATCAGAAACTGAAGTAAGCTATTCAAAGCAAACAGTCTACATAGAAGAAAATAGAACCAAGCCAGCATGAACCAAAGCCTAAGAAGATGACTGATAATCTTTTACTTTCAAAATTCATATTAGCTCTCGGGTAACTGAACAAGTTTTTCATCGTTACGTTATGAATTTCGCGAAAAAAAGAAAGTCGCTAACTTGATCCTAATTTGTCAAGGCTTCTAATGAAGGTCTACCAACAAATGTTCACATGATATAATATAAGCTTACAGTAAGTCATGGGTGCCAATGACCTTTACTTCTTTACCTTGGTCAGTGAATGAGATGTATAAATTTATTTTAAAGATAAAAATCATGTGTATGATATATGACCAAGTTTACTTAGTAATGAATAGTAGATTTCAATCATCTTAATGTGACTTACCATTAGTCTAAATGTACAGAGTAACATCGTTTTGTAATATATATGTATATAGATATATATATCCACTGGATAATCAATATTTTTTGATCTCATTCTTTGGTCATATTACTGATCAATTTTTTGATCCATAAGAAAGAGATTATTGAAAAGTCTTTAATTTATCATTTTATTAAAGACTATTTTTTTAGGTGACAGCTTGAAAACTGAAAAAAACAACTAAACTAATTAATATTGTGTTAGGTGGTACGTTAAAAACAAAATGGACTTCAATCTAATTTCCTACAGTACGTCATAACACCCATACGTGATAGTTTAACACAACCTATTTCATCATCATTCATAAAATAATTCCTTTCTCGAATGAATCCGCATTTTTTTTTAAGTCCAACTGTCCATCTTCTTATTCGATGTTTTAATGCATAATTACATCCTAGCTGATGAGCATTTCTTCCCTGTGGGTAAATGAAGTATCCTTTACATTCTGGACTACCAGAACAAGGCCAATGCATAGTTGTATATGAACTTTCTAATTAGATCATTTTCATACCCTGTGAGAATTTATACTATTTTTTTTTGAAGTATCTATAATTGGCTAGTTAGTGACGAATTTAGCCTTAAAACGCACTTAAAAACAATACACTAATCAACTTATTCCAAAGGTGGACTTTTGAAAACCATTTTTGCACTTTTTTCAATAAATGTAATAAGAATATTTCGTTGCAGTTACCTTAAAAACATTGATTGGATTACGGTACAATTTATATTTGCGAATTATTTTATATTCTACAGTTAGACGACTACATACATTGACATATTTTTGTGTTCAGATGGTGTATTATGGTGTGACTGCAATTAAACATAACTTGATTTCGACCAGTCAGAATGAAGCGGGAATTGTTGTATCCGCCATCTTTGTAAGTAATGGCGGTTGGCTTTCTTCGTTCTGTGTTTTTTCCTCTGTTGCTTTTATGTAGCTGCATAATTTAGTGTTTCAGTGTGCTGAAATGCAGCAGTCAATGTAATACTCTAAATGTTGGCGCAAACTTTGATTCAGCTTTGTTTTCTCGGTTTTTTCTGCTGCTACTCAAGTAAATGTATTCGTTCAGGAAATCCGTTTTGTTTT